CGTGTAGAGTTGCCCGAAGCTGGGGAAGAAGCGATAATGGTCCCGGAAATTCCCCCTTTTAGGTAGAGTTGAGCTAACGGGCGAATGGGAGGAGGGGGCGTGTAATGTCGGAAATTCCTAAGGAAAAGGAAGGTCACTGACGCTGTCGCTGTCGCTGTCGCTGTCATTGTCATTGTCACTGTCGAAGCAACGTGGGTGAGCGACTCGTGTAGAGCTTCCATTTCGAGAGTCTGAGAGTCCAGTCTGCCACGCGATTGACAGCTTTGACGTTTCATTCATCATGTTAATGCATCACGGAATGACCGTGAGGGTGAGTATGCACTGTTGATCAGTAAGTTCCTCGACATTCAATAGTTTCAAAACTGAATCGTAATTAATTAATAAAATCAATTAAACTTGTCTACGATTTCTGGTTTCGGCTGAGACTGTCGCAGATGATAACAGGTTTTGACGTGTTATTGTCTCCGACTCTCACGCTGCAGACGTTGAGACATTCATTCATTGTTTGCTTCCGGCCACAGCAACAATGATCCTGACGCAGCTGATTTGAGATTCCTGAATTTGATGCAACCTCAAAGAAGGCAATTATTGAATAACAGAGTCAGTCATTCCGCTGCCAAGGAACCTGCGAGACGAAACATGTCACTGAGGTGGGAGCGCCGCCTACGCCACGACTCAGCGCAACAGGTTACCTATTTCGTTCAAACCCTGAACAGATCCCTTCTGATTTACCCCAGGATCGCGATGCCAAACCCGCGTCGTGGGAAATATCCAAAAGAGATCAATATGACGTCGTACACACAGAAATATGATATGTCGCTGCTAATCTCACTCATCTTGAGATATCCGGCGTAAATGGCAGAAATGGTATGCGAAACCGAATGTGGCTTTTGTTGCTGTAATGAATTGGTTGCATTGTCGGGTATGATATGATGTCGTATGCAATGCTCACTCTGTAATACGCTGAGGCTGAGATAATACGGTCTCCGAATTGCTCACTGCTTCGCTGTTACTGTTACGTCTGCTAGGAATAGCAACAGGATGCATTCGCGACACGGAGGCCGCGGATGCTTACAATGTCTACGCGTTGTGCTCCCCTATTACTTTTCGCATTCCCCCATGTTTCGATCAAAGATTGGCTCGGATCTCTCGCCTCCGAATTTACAGTTGAAAAGGTTCATCGTCCCGGTGTTCCGTACCTTGATTGATTACGCTATCAGTATCGTATTTGGTCCCGTGATGCTTGGCTTGGCCCCCGAACTGTAACAATCCAATGTTTCGTTGTTGCCTGCTTGCTACGTCGTGATTCCCTGTGAGCTACAACTACGGTGTGATTATTACAGGCATTCAGTTCGTATTTGGGGCTGAGTTGCTGAGGCCGAGGCTGAGGCTGGCGATGACGATTACATGTAGCATGTAAATTGGGTGTAAGTCAGCCAGCAACGCCTCGTCATCTGGGGATCGATCACCTGAGAATCCGGGGTTTGTAAAACGCATAAACCATCGACTACGATTAACTTACGCTCAAGGGTAATTGAGTTGATTATTTCCTAATTCCGGACTATTTGCCTTCAAATATTGCCTCTGGTACAGTTCGTTTGTTTTGCTCCGGCAAGGAGGGGAGGTGAGTCTTCAACACTATTGATCGTCATGATAGACATGTCACTAAGCGACAAGGCGTTATGATAATCTCCCATCGAGGAATCATGATACCCAAAATGTGTAATGAGTTTCCATGACAGGAATTTTTTATTTCCCCCTTATGATGCCGTCATTGAAACAAATTCGATACTCTCGTACACGCCCCTGGTCTATGAGCCCAAGATGTGATATCGAATTTGGGTTGTATTCTCATCCGAAGTCGGCCTGAGTGTTTTGAGCTGGCTGTCTCCTGATACGGTCAGTACAGCCCTGTTGGCGTTGGCAAAGGCACCCAATCTATCACTCCATGTGAGGCATGCCACCTGTTGAAGTGATACCGGGTGGGGGTGTATAGGCGGTCTCGTGGGGTTGACCGCAATACAACGCATCAAGCCAACATCAACTGCAGTGAGAGTTCTAATCTCGCATTCTTTTCAGGCACGAAGCAGCTAGAGCAATCACCCGCTACAGCCTCACGCCTCGCAAGCCATGTTGGGGGTTGAAGGCCTGAGGGGATGGTTGTCTCTTTTGTTCTCTCAGTTTTGGGGGCTTTTAATTGGATGTGATATGTCTTGACAGCGCCATGCCGCTATTCAATACAACAAACAAACTCATAACCAACAAACTCCTTAGGTACACTTTGAAATTGTTTGCCCCTGTATAATTAAAGCATGTCTCACGCGGCAAGAGCGTTAGGCTCGGATCAGGTGCTTGCCGTACCGTCCCGATGATCTCGCATCCGTTGCTTTAGCTCATCACATCACATTTACCTTTGGTTGTCTTGTTATCACATCCCACCAAGTCTCCTCTTCTCCCCCCACGCAGAAGCAAAAACCACTGCCCAGGGTTCAATGGGTGATTCTCAGCCAAGGAATCGATCCACGAGGGAAGATCCTCTAGCTCCCGCTATGAACATGAACATGAACATGAACAATGAGACGGCACTTTACTTTTTGCCCTTGCTTGATGTTTGAGTAAGGGGGAGGAAACAATTAGTGTTTGTTATGCTTTGACCCTATGAGTCCTGATTAATCTACTGATTTTGGAATATGCTTTTTCTAAAGCTGAAAATGTCCTCTCGTATTGATATTGTTTGTGAGTTGTCACCTTATTGAAGCGGTCAGTTCTGCTGTCAGTGTCAGTGATAGTGCCGGGTAAAAGAGATAACAACACGCCCTCAACTGCACTGCAATGCGTGTGCGTTCTCTCATGCAGCCTTGCCCTGCTGCATATGCATCTCGAGTCAACTCGACTTGACTGGACTCTTTATCCTACACCGATCAATGTGTTTCAAGATCCTGCTACACTCGAGCTTCACCGCATCAACTCAGCTAGCCATACATGTCCTCTAGCCGGCCAGCATACCGCCTTTTGAAACCAGCCATGCAGACACTCTTACTCACAGCAACTACACTAATATCCTCATGCATGCACTTTCCCAGTATTCAGGTTATACAGACCTGCTTATATGCGCTGGCTTGTAGTTGGTGCGCATTCTCGTCGACAAAGTGTTGAGCTGGCGGGTCAAACTTACACGACAGCAGCTATATCTGGTCTGGTCCCTTGCAGCTGTCCTTGGAAATGAGTCACATAAGAAAAATTTTTAATTGATTCTGTGACGCGACTGTAGGGTGTGCTAACTTAGGCGATGTGTATTTTTTTCCTTTGATTAGGTACTGTAGTTGTGGCAGCGGCTTGATTGCGGTGAAGTGAGGCCATCTACGGATGTGACTATCCGGTGTGAACAACAACACATCGGTCAAACTTGCTTATTTCCCCCTGTTTACCGTGATGCCATCGGGTAACCCAACATTCGGCCGAGACTAGAGTTGTTCCCCGGGTCACACTACTTCAGAAGTATTGGTGTTGGGCATCGCTCATCTTGGTGTCATGTGGACTTTAGGGTAGGTTCTTTTGCTTCCGTAGTACTAAACGCATCGTGGACGGCAGATCTGTAGGCCTAGGTGAGAATATAGTTGATGGGTATTGAATTGTGATAGGCCTGGGGCCATACGACTCTGGTATCTGACACCGTTCGACTTACTGATACTATTGGGGTGTGAAGGCTCACCTATTAACATAGGTAATGAAGTAGAGTAGTCGAATGAAAGAAACGAATTTCAAAGTTGGCTTTTATAATATGAGACTAGGAAACGAATCAAACCACAATTGGTCTACCCATTACATTATCATTGATATGTGAGTGTGAGATCGACAAGCCATAACACACCAACGTCTGAAAGAGACTGCAAACATATGTGGATGTTGAACATGACCTTTCGCCCCTGGCTATTCGTATGCTTTGAATAAGCGACAAGCATTTATATTGAAGACCTCGAGATAGGATAGAACTAAATCACCTGCAAAACCGAAGTAAATTCAGACAGGGACTAGTAGTCTGAGTTCAAATTCCACTGACGTCTTGGCTGGTTTCATCAACGACAGTTGAACCTAGTCATATCACTCGAGATACAGTAGTAATAACCCATGCCAGACACCGAGGCTGAAATATGACGGAACAACAAGATGAAGAGACTATCATGGGAGCTTTAGATAACACTAGAAGCTGAATCTCGGCGTATATGGTCATATGGAATTCGTGAACTTGCTCTTTGAGCAACTCAACGACAAGAAAGCACCCAGTAAGCACTATAGTATCCTCTGCAAATAATTCTGGCTGGGCAGAGTATCGTTGACATTTGGATTGAATGGCGTTTCGCAGTTCTTGCATCTATGCACCTGTCGCCAGAACGTCAAGTCTCAGTATCCGGTGACACGTTCAATAGCAAACTGCGAGTATAAGTTGCTCTTTCAAGGGGTCTGAGGCATTCGTAACGAGCCTAACTTGATATAGGAAGATTTGATCCCTGAACTCCAACATATTTTCTTACTATTCGTGTAGTTGTCACATGAGCTTTTGGACTTGGTGTTTAGTGACTTGTCCAAGGGCAAACCGCAAGTTGATGTTGCTCCTTCAAAGAGTACAGTACGCTACGAGACTGACTCTCGAAGTATGGTCGGTCTCCAAGACCGGAGATACGGATATCACAGGCACGAGCTGTGAAGTATACATGATATTCACCCCCATCAAATGACCAGCTGGTCGAGGCCGGAGCAAGAGCTCAGATGATGATCACAACAAGTGGCGTAGAGAAAAACACGAAACGCGGTTAAATATCTCGTCGTAGTGCAAACTACGAACAATGCAATGCCAATCCCATAGTCCTCAAAAAGTCTTTGTAGGATCGAGTGTATGCCAAAACTGTAGATACGCCAAACTCCCCCAACTCCTCCCATGATGAAGAACAACTGGCATCTTCCAGCAATACTAGCCAAGCAAGCCTATCACCAAACGTACACTAACTTCGAAGCGCCTCTAACCGGTTGCGCATCTGGTCCATCATAGCTTCTGGATCTTCCTCCTCCTCCTCTTCCTCCTGGGGTTTCTGTGGCTCCGGTACAGGCGCCACAGGCAGAGTGGGCTGCTTGCGGTCCTTGAGAATCTCTCCCAAGACCTTGTCAACCTCTCCGTCAACCTCCTCGTCCTCCATAAGCATGTCGCCGTCAGCAGGAAGCGAATCCTCGACCATCTCCTCAATGATACCCGCCTTCATGAGCTCTACGCTCAGTTCTTGCATGGTACCAGCCAGTTCCGGTAGACGGATAAGCGAGTTAACATCCTTCATGATACCGACACTCGCTCGAATGGACCCTTCAATCTTTCGCACAGCAAAGGCCTCCTGTACCTGCATCTGCACCGAGTTAAGCTGCGCCTTGGATGTTATGAGGCGTGCTGAGGTCTTTCGGGCGCGAACGAGCTCGCGAGCAAAGTCGCGAACTTCTTGTTGGGCTTGTTTGGCGCGGGATGGGTCGCGCTGGGCTCGCTTGTCGGCTTGGAGGATGAGGTTCTTCGTCTTGTATTCAACTTGTTTAACAGTCTGGATATCGCGATCGATCTTGCGGATGTTTTGCCTCATCAACGCATTGCATTTGCGCATCTATAGCCAGACATGTTAGACTGTCATGTGGAACTAAGTATAGGCCGGTGTGTGTACCTGGGCCTGAGGATCAGGCTTCGCAAAAAGAGATTTGAATGTTTCCATGGCGGCGGTTGGGTGGAGGGAGTAGGAAATGCCCGCGCCAATGACGCAACTGTAAAGATGGCCAAATGGCGGAGTAGAATTTGGGTGGAGGTGCAAATGCGGTACAGTGATCTGCGTGTTCGAGCTGAAAAGGCTGTCAAACCGTCCGTAGTACTACTAGACCTCGAAGCGTATTGATGTCGTCGAATCAGCCGCAGCCAGTCGTTGATGATGTTGGGTCATGGTGGTGAGGCTCGCCCCATACTGGCCTCAAGGCTGAGGTGATAGGCAGACCGAGGTTTAATTGGCCCGCGAGCAAAAACAGGGACTGGAGGGGTTTCAGTGGGAGGTCCGCTGAAGCTTCCCTGGAACCTGGCACTAAGATCAGCACTGGCTCGCCTCCGGCCCAGCTGTGTGAGGCGCTTACCCCGCCATCGAATGCCGGCCGCGTGTAGGACTAGGCTGCCATTGCTGATCTAGAGATAAAGAGACACTACAATCAGTTGCTTTTGGTTGTTTAAAAAGGGTTGTTATCGAGTCTCATGCAAGAAGCCTCAGAATTGAGCTGAAATTGCATTGAATTTGCATCTGGAAACATCTTGTAGCTGCTTGTACACAGCAAACTTCTAACTGAGGTGACAAAACTCCAGCACCTTCTAGGAGCTACAGCCCAGTAATAGTGGAGAAAAGCTGGCCACTTTCAAGGGGGCGGGCAAACGTCAGAGCGGGCACTCAAAAGTTGTGGTAGGGCAGTACCTTAGATAGCACTACATTTTGGTGACAGCTGAGGTATCTGCTGATCAATTGCCCCTCTATTCTCTCTCCTTCTTAGACATTCTACCATCCCGCCTGTGACCAGACAAACGTGCAAGCCTCAAGGCGGATTGAATGAGGTACGCCCTGCCTACCTCTCACCTTAGGTACTGCCCGCTGTACAGAAGAAGTAGGAGCTAAAACTGCACCTCCTCCGCCCACCAAAAACTCATCCATTCCGTCTCCATTTCTCTTTCTCTGCTGCATCTGCATCTGCAACATCTTTCGCCTTCTTTCTCCTTATCTCTCTCTTCTCTGTCTGATTTTTCCTCCTTCACGTAACTTCACGATACGATAAGATACCCTTTTACTTCAACCTTCACAATGTCTGACACTGTTTACCCCGAAGGTATGTCAATGCTCGTCCCTGCTTAGCCCCAGCCCCAGCCTTGTGCTCGTATTCCCCCTCCCTCTCCCGATGCCGCTCTCAAGATGTAATCTGCCGATATTCTTTTCTACGACTACAATCTTGATCGCATTCTGCGCATACACTCAGTGCCACTTTCAATTCACCCGCTAATCACTCGCAGTCCTCTGGGCCCAGCGATCCTCCGTCGCCGACGCCTCCAAGAACTTCATCTACCTTACCATCTCTGTCCCTGATGTGCCCAAGGACAGCCTCACTCTCGACCTCCAGCCTACTAAGCTCAACTTCACCGGCACCTCATCCACTCTCAAGAAGAAGTACCATGTCGAGCTCGAGTTCTGGGGCGAGATCGACCCCGCCGAGAGCAAGATCAACCACACTGCCAAGAACGTTGAGATAAAGCTGCAAAAGAAGGAGCTCAAGGAGGAGTACTGGCCCAGATTGCTCAAGGACTCCAAGCGCGTCCACTTCCTCAAGACCGACTTCGACAAGTGGGTTGATGAGGATGAGCAGAACGAGGCCCCTGAGGACGACTTCTCTCAATTCGGTGGCATGGGTAAGTCGAATACAAATCCTAATTGACTGCGCCTCGTAAAACCGCATGACTAACAAATCACAATAGGCGGCATGCCTGGTATGGGAGACATGGGTGGTGACTTTGGCGGTATCGACTTCTCCAAGTTGGGAGGTGGCGGTGCTGGCTTCCCTGGTGCCGAGGGCGCTGGTGATGAGCTCGACGAAGATGATGACGACGACGACATGCCTGCCCTCGAGAGCGACGACAAGAAGGAGGCCGCCCCCGCTACTGCCCCTGCTGCCACCGAGAAGAAGGACTAAATCTCTCAATTATGAATGTTTGATGTTGCCAAAGAGGAGCATTTCTGAACTACAGTACAGGATTAGGCTGGGTAACTTTGGCGTTGTGCCGTACCAAGGCAGGCTTATTTCTCGGATATGTAGTTAAGACTACATTGCCTGTTACGATATGGAAGAAAAAAAAATGGAAAAACTGTTAAGCCACCGGTGTTCACTCAAGTGTTGAAAATCTGACCAATGTGATCGTTGAAAGGTAGCCTGTGATTTCAAGGCTCATGCTTGAGGCAGGTCTATGTTTGGACCCCTTCATGACTTGGCATGGACGCTGTATTAGGATTAGAAATGTTGGTTGACTGACTGACTGGTCTCAGATACGAACGAGTTAGTCAGTCTCGTTTCAGTGACTGGGATGTCTCAACACTAAAGCATAGTTGGGAATAAATCACACCAAATCTTTCGTACATTTAACCATGGTTAGCAGATGCCATCGTATCTTCACAGAGATTCGTGTATATGGAACGCTTCTTGTTCCATCTATTGTACAATACAATTTAATTTCCAGGTCCCGCTGTTGCTGCAAAGCAACGCCTTAGACATGGTTGCCGAACTGATAAGCTCGACGTGTGAAGGGTGTGAGAACTGAGACCAAACAGTAACAAATGCAAAACCAGCTGCTCCGCTGTTCGACCTCGAAGGCCTCTCTTTCTCTTTCATTTCGGATCAATCTGCAGCAGCACTAAAGCCGGGTAACCACCGTATCCTTCCACAAAATGTCCATAAAACACCAGCTCCCTTGTTTTTGTAATTTATTATTCTTGCTTCATGACATCGTCGTGGCGCTTTTGACGAATTTACTGATATCGTAGTTAGCATCAACTGTGCAGAGGAAATTTAATAGTACATACAGCGATCTCATCCATGTCAGCATCACCAGCAGCAGCTGGTGCGGGTGCAGGCGCAGCAGCGTTGTTGCTGGCCTCAGGGGCGGCCGAGGCGTCAAAGTAGTCAGCCATCTCCGAGTCGAGCTCCTCCTGGGTCTTCTTCGCGGGACGGCTGTTGCGACCACGGCGCTTCTTGCCAGCAGCTCCCTTGGCAGCGGCACCCTTGGCGGCACCAGCGTTGTGCTTGTCAGCAGCAGCGGACTTGGGTTGAGCCTTAGGCTGGCTATTTCGGTGGTCAGTAATTGTCAAGAACAGGGGGACGTATTTCACGTACGTGGTGCGCTCAGCAAGCGTCTTCACGGTAGGGATGACCTTATCAGCCTGGGCAGCTCCGACAACGATTTCGATCTGTTCAAGTTAGTTGTTGATGCGACTGGAGGTGTCAACATAGCTCACCTTGATAGGTCGGTTGTCGACAAGAAGGCCGTTCAGTTTCTGGAAGGCCTTGCTAGCGCCGTCCGACTTGTGGAAGGTCACGTTTGCGATACCACGGCTTTGAGAGTTGGGGCCGTAGGAAAGCTCAACTCGCTTGATGGGACCAACGGATTGGATAAAGTACTCCTATTGGGGGAAAATAGCGTTAGTCTTCCGAAGTGTAGTTGAACAAAATTCGTCATTCCGTCATCGAGCCTTGGTCGTTCCAGTTCCGGGAGAGTATCACGTCGCCAGGATTTGGAAATCATATTGGTTGACAGCTAGCAAGCAGAGCAGTGAGACAAAGACAGAGCCCTCGGTCTGCCCATCAAGGGTTTGAGATCGGTTGAAGCACCCAAGGCCACACCCACATGGCTCTCTTTCAAATAGTAACCCACAACTTGGACCCAACCCAAGTTTACTATAAGTGTAGCATTCGAAAATATGCTCAAAAACAGACAAGCAACCCGCTATTCCCCGAACGGGGATTCGTTCAAGCCGACACAACTTTGTCTCAAGATCTGCGAGGGATAGCTACTGTATGTGCTCACTGCTTGCTCGCTAAAGTAGATGCAGGATTCCAAAAAGTTTCATCCGGAGGAATTCGCTGGCCGTTGGCTGGTACAATACGCATATCGTTGTGACAAGCCTCTACCCTGAAAAGTCGGCGCTACATAGGCGAGGAACGCTGACCAGGCGATTCCTACAGTATCATTGCGCGACAAGGATTATCTCAACTTCCGACATAGTACCATATTCCAGGTTTTACCGAGTCTAAGAAGGAGAATGGGTGTCCGATAGCTCCAGGCCTCAAGGCTAAGTCGACAAACTAGTCGGATAGACGCGACGTCGAAGGCAAAAATGAGAGCGGCGAAGGAGAAAAGGTCGAACAAAGTCCGAGGGCTTTAAGGGCCGCAACGGAAACATACCTTAATCTGCTGCTCCGAGACGTCCTTAGGCTATTGCAAACGTTAGTATATTAATATATTTCAAATCTTTGTTTGCGACTTACCAGATTGCTCACAATGATCTTGCTGTCACTGTTGGTAGGAGTCGCCTTGGCTGGGGCAGGCTTTGCGCCGGCGCCGCGTGCGGGCTTGGTGCTCTTCTGGATACCACCAACGGGAGCGGCCGCAGCAGGGCGTCCGGCACCACGGCGCTGGTTGGGTCGGCGGCGAGCGCTACGGCGCTGGGCCTGGGTGATATCGTCAAGAGCTTGGTCGAGCTTGCCGGACATGATTATGTGTGTTGATGAAGTTGGTAAGAGTAGGTCAAAGACGGGCTGAGGAGGACAGGCCCGTGAGAAAGAAGCTGGATCTGCTGTTCAAGCTGATGCAGTTGGTCAAATCAGCAGAAGAAATCGATTGACACGTGCGATTTGGTGTCAAAGACGCGATTAAGGTATGGTGAAGACTAGAGCTCGATGACGGCGCAAGTCGCGAACGCGGAATGGGAGTTGAAGAGAAGGTGGTAATAAGCGTCTGATAGACTTGAGATGAAATAAAAGGCGCGCGAGAGTTATTAAGGCGGCCGGGTAAGAAGAAATTGCTTGGGCTGGGTTGAGAAGTGGGTGTATATGGGTTGAAGTTGGGAGTTGAGTGAAGTTGGGTGAAGGTTGAAAGGAAGAGGGAGACAAGGGAGGGAGGGAAACAAAGGCACAGAAAAACACGGGGTGGGCGCTGCTTCCTGCTCCTTCTGTTGCCCTCGACTGCCTAATCAGCTCGGGTCTGGGTGTGGCGCTGCAGAAAAGCTAGCCTTTTTTGGTAGCAGAAGCTTCGCACCGCCACACTGTAAACATCTGGCACCAATTACAATACGAATAGGGACATGCGTTAAAGGGACAGTTTGCACAGAGTTCCGTCACAAATGCAAACGAGCGCAACTTCAAGGAGGGAAGCAAACGACCAACGAAGTATGTTGTTTGTTCTTTACTGAGCAGAATCTGCCTAAGGATAGCTCATGCTAGGCAAATATGATCTGTGATAGGCTGGCATCGGCGTGTGCCATCAAGTCTTCCATCCCAGGGCCTTCACTTCATGTCTACTGTGACAATTTTGGAAAAGATTCTTCAGTATTGTATTGCAGATAGCTGAAAACCTCCCAGCAAAATATCCATATAACCCCCCTAGTCTAGTTGTATCGAGCCCAACCTCTGCTTTTCGAATAGGCGGAATCGTTCGTCCAAAGAGTTCTCCTTAACGCCGAGCAGTCTTTGCTGCAAACTGGATATCCCCTTCTCGTGAAATATTACAATGCGCAGTAATCATGATACTGTGCAACTATAGTGACTTTGGCGCTCCCTCCTTGCCGGCTTCAATCGGATCCTTCGCAGCGTTGACTTCGAGGAAGTGGTAGAGAACAATGAGGATCATTGCTGTAGTGCCAAAGAAAATGGCTAGTCGATAGAGATCGCCGTCGGAGATCATGTTTGCGGTGATGAAGGTGATGGACAAGAAGCTGCGTAGGCCTGGGGAGCTAGATGATTCTCGATCAACACTTGGTCCTGCGCGCAATCATTTCAGCGTTGACAGTACACACCGGCTATTAATTTCAGAAGGTAGTCGTTTGAATAGAAACCAGAGTTGAATCAATCCTCTGAATGATCAGTGACAGTGCCGTGGGATGGACGCGAGGCTGTATCTGTAGTAGATGTTGGATATGGAGCTTCAACTGGCCAGATGGAGCTCTAAAGTGTCCGCGTTGCAGAGACAGGTACGTATTCTTGCTGGGGTTCTTAGCGCGGCCCGCAGTTGAAAGATTTCCCGACTCGCTATCCCTACTCTAGCCACTGTGAGCGACAGAGTGAGTGAGTGCCTGAGTGAGTGCCTGAGTGAGTTTCTAGGTGAGGATAACTTTTTTTCTCAATATTTACGCAGTTCTTTGTTCTCGTCTGACAAGAATTAGTTCCTACCATAGTTAAGACGAAGAGCAATACAACGAATTTCTATGTAATCACTGATAATACTCTTCCTTGCAATATAGTAGACATCATTAATCACTTACACACGTCGAGGTACTTGCCCTCGAAGAAAAGTCTTGGGCGCCAGGCACGTGACTAGCCTGTGACTTCATCCTCCACACCAAGGCAGCCCAGCCCACCAACTATCAGCAATCTTCGACATTCGTCTTTTTTTCAACCCAGATTTGGTGGCTCTGCCTCTCGCCATTCCCAACGCGAACTGTGGGCATACAAGCTAACAGAAACCCTCGACGAACTTCACGATCGTCCGAATCCCATCGAATATCTTTTTTGATACCCACGATTACCCCGCCACCAACTGCCCATCATGCCTCCCAAGAAGGGTAAGGAGCCCGTGGCCAAGAAGGCCACGAAGTCGGTCGAGGACCGAACTTTCGGCATGAAAAATAAGAAGGGCGGTGCTGCACAGAGGGAAATCTCGCGCATGCAGGCAAACCTTAAGAACAGTGGCTCAGCGGAGGAGAAGAAAAAACAGGCTGAGAAGGCGGCCCGAGAGCGTGAGAAGAAGGCGGCCGAAGAGGCCAAGAGGGATCTGGAGGCTATGATGAACAAACCAGCGCAAGTTCAGAAGGTTCCTTTTGGCGTTGATCCCAAGACAGTTGTGTGCATCTTTTACAAGAAAGGCAACTGTGAGAAGGGCAAGAAGTGCAAGTTTGCACACGATCTTTCTGTTGAGCGTAAGACAGAAAAGAAGAACTTGTACAACGATTCACGACAAGAGGAAGAGGAGAACAAGAAGGCCGAGACTTCAGCAGACTGGGACGAAGACAAATTGCGAAGTGTGGTTTTGTCAAAGAAGGGCAACCAGCAAACCACAACCGATAAAGTGTGCAAATTCTTTATCGAGGCCATCGAGGATGGCAAGTATGGTTGGTTCTGGATTTGCCCTAACGGAGGAGATAAGTGCAAGTATAAGCATGCTCTGCCACCTGGGTATGGTTTCTTTCATCAAGTTATTTTGGCAGTTGCACTAACATCAACTTAGATTTGTTCTGAAGACCAAGGAGCAAAGAGCAGCAGAGAAGGCGCTCTTGGACAAATCACCACTCAAGACCCTGACACTCGAGGACTTCTTAGAGTCTGAGCGACACAAACTGACCGGTACTCTTACGCCAGTCACCCCCGAGACTTTCGCGAAGTGGAAGAAGGATCGTCTCGACAAGAAGGCAGCCGAGGAGCAAGCGCGCAAGGCCAAGGAGAACACTGGTCGTGCTCTGTTCGAGAGTGGCAAGTGGAGAGATGAGGATGATTCCGACGTCGATGATGACGATGACGATGTCTGGAACCTGCAGAAGCTTCGTGAAGAGACAGAGGCTGTCCGTTCGAAGAAGGAAGAGGAACGTCTGCTATCAAGCTACGATACTCCCAATAATGGCACTACGGGCCAGGCAACACCGGCAGAGGATACTCCAGCTGAGACTCCAGCTGAGACAGCAACCGGATCTTGAGTCAACAGAGACACAGGCGTGTGGCATATGTAGTCTAGAAGACCTTGGATCTGGGATTTCGTCAAGCTCTCGTAGTTGGAGCTCGCCGGAGAACAGACCATCCAGAGGCAAGCCGAGCCCTGCTGCAGACCTCACATCAGTCAACTCACGAGTGAGAGACGTGTGCAGGTCTACCATGGCGATCTCGTCATCTTGCTAATCCTCATGAGAGGAAGGATGACGTCTGTCCTCCGAGTAGAATAAATTACAGTACCAGTATAATCAGCGTGCGAGCTGACAAGATGACAACCAACACTTGTATAAGCTCCAAGCCACAGCTGCATTCGCGCAGGAAATTGCTTACTCGATGTGTTAGATACGTGCATTCCCATGCATGGTATGTTCACGGTGATTGTGGTTGTAATGGTTGGTGTTATCCTGCCAAGTCAACTACTCTTCAAGGATGATGCATGATAGCCGAAAGTCTCAACGGCTGAATGCATCGAGAGGCGTCGATCTTGGGAGTTTTGAGGTCCTGGTGCTGGTGGTCGTTTGTGAAGCACAACAATGGAGCGGCCAAGGAGAGGTCCTTTCGTTCTGAGGTTAACGCGGTTGTCCAACCCCAAATTATCTTACTATGATTGCGGGGTGAGGATTTACAGTGGTCGTTATTGGGCGAAGGCTAGTAAACGGTTACATCTAACTTATCCGGACATTGAAGTCCGCTTAATGACATGGATATCGGGTCATGATTTGGCGTTGAGACTTTAGCTGTGTTATTGTATCCGCGGAAATGGGGCGACGGATGATATCTCGGCTAAGGAGTCAACAGTGAGAGTAGTCAAGTCTTAATATCGTAAGAAATCAAGTTGAAATTGGTGAAAAGAAGTAGTTGTAGTATCAAAGTCAGGTTAAGGTATTTCCCCCAAAAAACATGTGATGAACGGTCGGCAGATGATGCACCCACTGAGATACAGCAGCTCGTAGGGAACGGGAAGGATCAATTACAGGGCGCGGAAGCTCTAAACGGTCTTCGAAAAGGTCCCATCGGGGGGGAACCAGGAACCAAAGAAAGAGGTTGGATTGTGCCTTTGGCGTTTGCTCGGTCAAACCCCGCGACCTTGAAACTTGGGTGGGCTGTTCCTTCCCGTCCGAGGGGTTGTTTGGTTTGGAAAGGAAGTTTGACACCGAAGAAAAGTAGCAAGTCCGGGAGGCAGGGCAGGCATGACCCGTTCTCTCCCCCGCCTGCGCCTACCGTCCTCCATTACCACTTCCATCCCAAGATCTACCTTGCCTACCTTACGAATTAGTCTATCTAATACGTACCATAAGGTAAGGTCAGTACCTGCTGCCCATACTAAATCAATCTCCACCTTTGGTCACAGACCTTAATCCTCCAACTCTCCTCTTCTTATATTTTCCCATTAATTGATCTTTTGTGTAAAGGAACTGCCATCATCAGCATCGTCGCTTCCGTTGTCGTCGCCGTCCTCTGCCGAGGGCACCCGGACGCCCGAGCCCGTGCAGAGACATAAGTGAAGAGCCGCCCACCACCGATATCCCGACGCCGCTCCGCCCCCGACCTCCGATCTGGGTCCTCTAAATCCACCAGATTATCTTTTTCCATCCGTCGTCTCTGTACCTGTACTCGACTCTCCCGGTGCCTCACGTCTGAATGGACCCTACGGCTGCTCTCGATAGGCCGTGTTTCGACCGCGCCTCCAAATAAAGCTATACCTTGACTATATCTATATTCTACCTCTTGGGCTTCGCACGCCCGTATCATTCCGTCGGTGCTCCGGTTTGAGGTCCAGTCGCTCTCTATCCCGGAGAGCGGGAGAAAGCAATGACCACTGGAGCTAAATTGGCCCACCAAGATGTCACAGGCCATCAATCGCAACTGTCGTCACTATCTCCAGCAACAACTTCTGCCATCAGCATGCCTCTCGGCGCTGGAGGGCGACGCGATGGCGAGACCACGGCTATGACTGCAACGGGTGCCGCCGTCTCTGCAGTACCAAAGAATAACCCTTCCAACCGCTTTGTTAAACGATACCGAACCGAGATCGCAGCTAGCTCTTCCAGCGTATTCTCTACCCTCGCCGCTTTCCCACTCGATAGCGTCAAGACGCGCATGCAAACCTACCACTACAATGGATTCCTCGACTGTGTTCGCAAAACATATCATGCTGAGAAGCTCGGTGGCTTCTTTCGAGGTATGTTGCAGCCAATTGACAGGATGTGGTCGATCACAATTGACTAATCCGACATTGTAGGCGTCACAGCACCGATGGCAAGCATAACGCTTGTCCGTACCGTCTCCTTTTCGATCTACCAGCGTGCCAAATACTCTTACTCGGCCTGGGTTAAACGCAACTTCGGGTTTGATATCATTGGCCATGTAAACCGGCATGGCACATATCCGAATCTCTACTCTGTCGCATGCTTTGGCGCTGCTGGCGCGACCGCTGGCTCTTGTATAACCTTTCTCGCCTGTCCCTTCGAGCTCACTAAGCTCAGTGCGCAAGTCTCTGTACTGCTCGCTGAACGCGGTTCGACCAATAAAGGTAGTCACGCTGTGGCAGCTAGCTACCAAAATAAGGGCACTTTGCGGACAATGGCCAATATCATAAAACATCGTGGTGTTTTTGGTCTATATACTGGCCTGAAGCTTCATCTTCGTGAGTGGCTCCTTGAAACCTGTTGTTTTGGTACCGACTAACAATGTGCAGTCCGTGACACGTTGGGCACGGCTATCTATTTTATGGTGTATGAAAGTGGGAAACAAATCGGAAACACATTGGCTGGCGATCATCCCAACAGTAACAAGGTGGCTGTCGTTGCCGCTGGTGGCATGTGTGGTTTAGTATCGTGGGCGATGATCTGTAAGTCAAGCTGCACCCGATATTGCAACTCTTAATCTTACTTGCAATGGACAGACCCTATTGATTCAGCCAAGAGCATTTATCAGCGAAACTCATTACTCTATTCGAAGGGGGAAAAGGTCGAGCCTGCGCCAAAGATCGAATTCTTTAAGCGACACATGTACCGTGGCCTAGGAGTTTCTATGAGTCGGTCATGTGTTGTGAATGCCATATTTTTCTCGTCATTCGAGTTTGTCAAAAAACACATTCATCAAATGGACGATGAGAATCGAACTTGAACAGAATCTGCCCAATTGCCTGTTGGTGGAATAAGCAGGAATATCAGGTGGCCAAGTGATTATTGGGAAAGGTATCTGGCGATTTTGGATGGTTGATAACCGGGAAACAAAGGCAGAAGCATGCATGCATTACGAAAGGGCGTTATTGGGACTTAGTAATTTATCTCCAACTATCTCATCTGGGTAGTTGTTCAGAGGTGGATGGTGATATGAATACCTCGAAACAGAAGACTGAAGCCTGAAAAGGACAGAAGATTACAGTAACACCAAGTTGGCTGTCCTCATGAATAAGAAATTTACTCATTTTATATGACTATAGTCACATTCTGCTGAGCCACTGACATTCAGCCTGCCGGCGAGTTGGATCTTATACAGAGCACATATGAAAGCCTCAGTAGTCTCAAAATCTTTATAGACTTGGTTTGGGACAGAATTGAGCATCGCAGTACCTCACAAGAATCATCACGAGAAAAGAAGTTATGAGAGGGGACGTGTTTACTGCATCTGGTTCATCAAATTGTTGTCGTTGAGTGATAAAGTAACCTCGATGGGTCACTTCCTATAGACAAGAACCATTCCCTTTCATTTCTTCATGACTAGATCCTATCTTCATTGATACCTCCGATCGTCATCCATATCGAACATCTCATTTCTTCTGTTCTCCCTGTTCCTTGGCCTCCTTAGCCGCCTCGTTGATGTTCTTGTCTCCGGCCGCCTGAGCTCGAACGGCAAAGTCGGGGTCGTTGCCATCGTTGGCCTATTTTCATGAGTGTTAGTATATCTTGGTAGACTGTGACATGAATGTATCGTATGAGTGGACTGATGGGCAAGACTTACTGCACCGGCTTGGATGCGGGCCGCAGCCTCCTTGGTCATGGGGATAATGACTTTCTCGTCGCCAGGCATGATGGATGATAGATAGTGTAGTGTAGTTGTGTGTAGATCAGAGTAGAGTGTGTGAGTTGTTGTTGATGAGAAGGAAAGATATCCAGGGGTGTGAAGGTCTGGAGGTATTTATACTTTTCCATAAGACCTCTTCTTCTCTCTGTTTGATGTGTATTCTTGGTTCGATCTTCATGTTTGTTTGTTCTCGCTTCTTATTGCTCTTTTCTGATCATGACGCTGTCGACTGTCTGCTATAGTTGTGGTTTGATCAAGCATATAGCAAGCAATAGCAGCCAAACAAAACATGCTATGCTGGACCTACAATTGACTCACTAGATCGCGAGAAAGGACCGATGTTTCATGCCAATTCATCGGTCCAACGGCATGGGAGGCAGATGACAGAAGAAATGTGTTTGAACTCTCAGGGATTGAAGACAAAGCATCATCATTGATGACAGAAGCAAGCAAATGAATGCACAAATTGTTGATTTATGCTGGCTGCAATGTAGCAATAAACATGCTTCCAACATATGTTCCATTGCAAGCAGAAGCAAGTAGTCTACCATCATGATCCTAGCTACTATTACCCTGATGTCCATAATATGATTACCAGAACGCCATGCTTAATCAAGGCGGGCATCTTAACCCACCGCCTGTAACTTCACCTCCCCGAGCAACCAATATCGAATGTAAGCCAGCCAGGGTCGTTCATAGACCAGATGTAAGTCATACAACGCCAAAAATGCAAGCATCAAGCCACCATCCTCGCCGAGTCCCAACAAGCCAACAGTCTTTACTCCTTACGCAAACACTTCAGCAAAGGCGCAATCCTGGACTTTTTGCTCAATCCAACTCGATAGACGGGCTTGTTGATGATTGCTGACAGTCCCTTGGAGGGTGTTGAGCTTCTGCTTGTAATCGCTGGTTTCTCTGGTTTCTCCTCCTTCTCTTCTGTTGCAACATCTGATAGTTTGGACGCCGCGTCATCATCCAAACTAGAGACAGATTTGGCCATGATGTTTGGGTCGGATTCCTTGAGGATAGGACTTTCTCGGCTGTTGCTTTTGACTGAAGGTTCCACTTCGCTCTCCTCTGCTAGCTCATCTTTGCTTTCCGACTTCTCAATAGCTATCTTGGCCTTTTTCTCTGGCCGCACAGCATCTTCAGATAGTGAAGCATCGTTGGTAGACGCTGATGGATCGATATTTGGACTCTCCTCCTTTGTTTCCGTTTGGTCTGATTTTCGTGGCCTCCCACGCTTCTTGGATTTTGCGACAGGCGTGACAACTTCTGACTGGAGCGAAGGTGCTTCTATCACGGTTGCGAGCTCTTCGACAGCCTTCTTCTTCGGCCGACCTCTTGATCTCTTTGTCTTTGCCACCTTTTCAGGCTCATAATTATCAAACGCTTCTTCTTGCATGACTGGAAGCTCCGGTTGTTCTGGTTGCTGCTCATGTGTAATCTCATTATTTGCGGGCTCGGTTGAGTCACCATTCCTTGTTTGTTCTAGTTGTCTCGTTGCCTTTTGTTTGGGAGGCGAATCGATGGCGGAGATGACGTCAGGAGATGAATCCCATCTATTTCCAGTGGCTTGCCCAATTGTTGCTCTGTTTGGATCCATCACACTTGAAGGCGGAGGAGGAGCAGTACTCATGAGATAATGAGCATGGCTTCTGGGGGTGTTGATGTTTGTTGCATCTCCGCTTGAAGCAAGATTGATTTCGAACTGGCGGACCGGGGGGAGTTGGTGATTCTGGCTGTCACTAGAAGGCAATTGCACACTCTCGTACTCCAGCTTTTTGGCATCAGTAAGCGGGTTTGTGGTGATGAAGAAAGAATCATCTTGATTGACTGGTAATGTTGGCGGGAGCATGCTTGGTGTTGGCGCTGGCTGGGACTCATGGTATTCTCCTTCATTTTCATGACTGAAAGGGATAGCAACCAAGTCAACATCGTTGGAACCTTGGAAAGAAGGCTCTGGATGGTTGACCTTCCTACGCTTCTTGCCTGAAGGTGAAGCATCTGATCGCCCAGACTTAGAGCTTGGGACCTTTCCCACCTTATCCGACTCTGGCGCGTGATGCGAGTCAGAGGTAGAGTCAGAGTGAGCCTTTGAACTCTTGACTTTGAGCTTTATCTTAGGCCTAACAGGACGCTCATCAGGTGAACTCGGTACATCCCACATATCGTCCATAACAGCCATGGGTGCCTTTCTTCTGCCTGGTGTTGAGGCCTGAGTCCATTCATCTGGCCCGTTTCCGTTGGTCTGTCCTCTTTTTGTTGTTTGTTCTCTTGCAGATGGTATTGAAGAAGGTTCAATAAGTCCCGTTACAGTTCTTTTGAAAGGTGCTGGCGCTGTCATCTCAGAGCTTGAGACTGAATGTTGATCCTGATCATGTGATCTGGCCGTCGGTTCTGGAACGTAACCACGCGCTGCATCATTCTGCTCATTGTAAATATTTTGAAAGAATGACGGGTTTGTTGATGTCGTCGCACGGCTTACACCTCCAGAAGAATCATTCGCAGCTTCAGTCTGAGCTTCAATTTCGGCTGGTCCAAATGAGAATGGTGCCTGTATATTTGGAGGCGGAGAAAAGCTGCCATCCTCGTCTTCGTCGTCAGAATCAAGTATTACAATCGGAGGCATCCTAATAAGTAGTGACGCATCGCGTCACAGGTCACATGTGAAGTATGGATCCTCAATGTGGAAGAAGTTAAGCATGAATTGATATCGTCGCTTGAAAGGCAAGGATAACAAAGAAGCGCGTTGTGACGTGGGGCTTGGTAGCTCATCCACGCGTGGGCACGTGATGAATTTCAACCACATCAAGATGCAAAACACCATGACAAGCAGTTACTGCTCCGACGTTGGGAGACATCATTCACAATACACAGATACTCATATGGGTCATATCACAATCAATCACAGGGATTATAGAGAGAAAAAAGGTTCATCATCATCATGAAAAATAGGTCAATTTGTTGATTTTAGACCCTCATCTGCTCCCAATCGGGAGGGTATATGCAAATGTTGAATGCTCGCCAAACCAGCCGTACCCAGATCCTAATCCACAGGTTAACTTTTAGGATTTTACCACAAACATATCTGGTCCCTTTTTTTAGGCCAGTCCCAAACGCCGATGTTGAAATCGTAGCTGTTTTGAAGAACAGCCTCCACAAAAATGCTATTAACACAATCCTCATACGCCTTCATCACCGTCATCAACCTCTTATACAATTATGGGTTGGCATTTATTTGGCGTACTTGGCACGGAAGTACTTGGCGGCGTTAACCATGTTGGCAAGCGCCTCCTTGGTCTCCTTCCACTGACGGGTCTTGAGACCACAGTCAGGGTCGATCCAAAGCTGCTCGGGCTTAAGGAACTGAAGCATCTCCTCGATGCGGTCCTTAATCTCCTGCTCGCTGGGGACGCGGGGAGAGTGGATGTCGTAGACACCGGGTCCGATGTGGCGGGGGTACTCAGAGTCGACGAAGACTCGGAGGAGCTTGGCATCAGACTTGCTGTTCTCAATGGACAGAACGTCGGCATCGAGGGCAGCGATGGCGTGGAAGAAGTCCTGGAACTCAGAGTAACAGAAGTGAGAGTGAATCTGAGTAGCGTCCTCAACACCGGCGGTGGAGAGGCGGAAAGCCTGGACGGCCCACTTGAGGTAGGCATCACGCTCCTCGCCGGAGCGGAGGGGAAGACCCTCACGGAGAGCGGGCTCATCGACCTGGATGACGTCGATGCCGGCCTTCTCAAGGTCGACGACCTCGTCACGGAGGGCAAGAGCAAGCTGCTCAGCCTGGACGGACTGGTGGACGTCGTCACGAGGGAAAGACCATCGAAGGCAGGTGACGGGGCCAGTAAGCATACCCTTCATGGGCTTCTTGGAGACCGAGACAGCGTACTTGGACTCCTTGACGGTCATGGGCTGGGGTCGAGAGATGTCACCGACGATGATGGGAGGTCGGACGCATCGAGAACCATAGGACTGAACCCAGGCGTGTGTGGTGAAAGCATAACCCTGGAATCGCTCACCGAAGAACTGAACCATGTCGTTACGCTCAGGCTCACCGTGGACGAAGACATCGAGGTCGAGCTCCTCCTGGATCTTGATGTTCTCCTCAATCTCCTTCTCAATGAAGCGGTCGTACTCCTCAGCGGTGATCTCACCCTTGGTGAACTTGTTTCGCTGAACTCGGATCTCCTTGGTCTGGGGGAAAGATCCGATGGTGGTGGTGGGGAAGAGGGGAAGGTTCAGCTTCTTCTGCTGCTGGCTGATACGGGTAGTGAACTCGCTCTTACGCTCGTAGTCCTTCTGGGTGACCTTGGACTGGCGCTCCTTGACCTGGGGGTCGTTGGTTCGGGGGGAGTCGGCACGAGCCTTGATGGACTTGGCATTAGCCTCAAGCTGTTCGCGGACGGAGGCAGGACCCTCAGTGACGGCCTTGGCAATGAGAGCAATCTCAGAAGCCTTCTCAGTAGCGAAAGAGAACCAGTCGGCAATCTCGGGGTCCAGTTTCTTCTCGCTGGCAAGAGTGTGAGGGGTGTGGAGGAGAGAGCTGGAGGTGGCAGCAATGACACGGTCCTTGCCGAGCTTCTGGATAGCGGTCTCAACAGTCTCGATAGCACGCTTCAGGTTGGTCTTCCAGATGTTGCGGCCGTCGACGACACCGGCAGAGAGGATGGTGTTGGAGCCGATAGCACCGAGAACCTTTTCGAGTTGCTCGGGGTTACGGACAAGGTCGATGTGGACACCATAGACGTCCTTGGGGAGGAGGTCAAGGTTGTGGACGATGTCACCGAAGTAGGTGGTGAAGACGATCTTGGGGATCTTGTCACCAAGGCTGGCGAACTTCTCATAGGCGGGCTTGAAGGCAGCCTTGGTCTTCTGGGGAAGGTCGAAGACAAGGACAGGCTCGTCAATCTGAACAGTCTCGGCACCAGCCTCCTTCAGCTGGGTGAGGATCTGCTCATAGACGGGGAGGAGCTTCTCAAGAAGGTCGATGGGCTCGACAGACTGGCCACGGTCGGCCTTGCCGAGGTGGAGGAAGGAAACGGGACCAACGAGGACGGGGCGGGTGTTGATGCCAGCCTCCTTAGCCTCCTTGAACTCAGCAACAGCCTTGGGGCTGTCAGTGAGCTTGAAGGTCTGGTTGTCCTGGAGGGTAGGCTTGACGTAGTGGTAGTTGGAGTCGAACCACTTGACCATCTCCAGAGAGGGAACATCGACACCCTCCTTCTGGTGACCACGGCCCATGGCGAAGTACTGGTCGATGGGGTCAAGGCCATCCTTGGTGTATCGCTCGGGAACGGCCTAAGGGATGTGGGTCAGCAAATGTTGTTCTATGACTCGAAGGTGAGGGAGATACATACACCGAAGTCCTGGATCTGGTGAAGGACCTGGTCGTAGAGGGCGAAGTCGTTGCTGGGAATGATGTCGACACCGGCATCCTGCTGGATCTTCCAGTGAGCAAGACGGAGGCGCTTGGCCTCAGCGAGGAGGTCGGACTGGGAGATCTTTCCACCCCAGTCTAAAGTTTGGTTAGTCGATGATGACACGAGTCAAGGATTTTGCAGGAGACTGACAAGCTTCGGTGGCCTTCTTCAGGTCACGGTTAACACCCATGCGGGGGAAACCGAGGATAGCGGACTGAACCATCTTGACGGTTGATTCAACTGCTTCTTCTGATTCTTGATTTGGGTATAACTGTTGTTGTCAAGTTAGTCTTTTATTTTGAATTTTTGGTTGAGAGCACGGTGCAGGCGGGGGTGGCAGCGGGGAGAGGGGCGGAGGAAATCGAGCAGGGCTGGCTGGACTGGAGGGAGGGGAGCTGGCGGGGAGTTGAGAAAGGCGGAAGAGTGAAGAGCTTCACGTACAAAGTGGTTAAGAGCCCTTGTCTGTGCCAAATTGGATCAATTGAGAGATCCTTTTCGAGATAGAGCAAAGGGCAAGAGTGAGATGAAGAAGAAAGGAAAGAGGAAGAGAAGAAAAGTTGGGAGTCGAGAGTAGAAGAGTGTTTTGAGCTTGCTCAGACGAAAAATCAGAGGGGACCAACCAAACCAGGCCGAAAGCGGGGGAGGGGTAAAAGAGTGGTCGAGGAAAGCTACGCCGCTGATTTGATTGGCACTGGAGCACTCGAAGCATCCTTACCTTTCGTTTACCCACTTCACCGATAAGTGTAGGTGTAGGAGTAGCTTGCCTGCCACTGACTGCCACTGACTGCCACTGCTACAACTCAGAACCTCTAACAACATCCACCTCGAATCTCACGTATTCGTACCTAGCCTATGAGGTGGTTGGTTGATCGGAGGAGGCGGTTGCCGGAGTGGATTTTCAGGGCCCTTTACACGGCTCACGGGCTGTCGGTGGGCGCTAATGGAGGGGCAGTTTGCAGCAGCTCTGCAGCTTGTGGCAGGGGGTATTCACCGTTCTCGCAGGGCACAATGGGGCTAGTACGCCTCAATGAATCTTTGCTCGGCTCCCGAATTGCGTGCTTGAATGTCAATCACCTCATCAACCAATTTTCTCTTCTCTCAGGAGCTACAACGGAGCAAAGGAAGCAGGAAGAAGTGCTGAGGCCAATTTCTACTTCGCCGCAGATCGGCCTTTGGCGCCGTTTTGCAACCCACTTTGTTGAGAAGATCGACCACTCGTATCCTCCAACAGGAGGACGTGTCCTAATTTTTCGTTCAACGATGTCGAGGTCTATTTACTCAAGGTTTGCAACGGCCTATCGTACTGGAGACCGACCACGTGCTTTAGCGTTGTCTTGTTGTGATGTTGTAGCAGCTGCGCTTACACCGGAAATTTTCGGAGTTTAGAGGATTTGGACTACGTATGACAAGCCAAGGTGCATCAAGGAGAGGTGCCGAAGCCTTCATACGTATTCAAACAGATGAAGTCACTAGAAAAGTGAATAACTGCTCTGCAATAAAACTTAATCTATACTGCCAACTTACTCGACTCATAACAGGGAAAATACCTAACAATCAGGTGCAGCTCTAGGTTAGGTAACCTGTTTCTAATCCAGAGAAATCTTATCACACTCATGCTCAAACAACACAAATCAGTGACAATGTCGATTGAGAGAGTCAGAACAGCATGATGGAAGGTCGCGTTCTTCTCGGCAGGTGACAGTATGGATCAAGTGGTCCTTACGTAGCTCTCAAGGCTGGCCTCGTGGTGAGTGCATTGCACCTTCCAATGAGCAAGGTGTAGGTAGGCTGATAGGAAGGAACCGATGTGGAAGTCGCGATGGCTTCAACCAAAGGTTATCAGGCTTCTACCTGAACTCACCAGGAAGAAGTTTTCCTGTTTCTCCAACACTCTTGGTTTTGGACGACCCTCATGACTTCTTTCTTTTGGTGACCCTTCACTGCTTTTTGGTCGTTTCTTGGAAGAATACCCCTATCATTCAAGGCCTCGTCAATGCCTTCCTTTAACCCTTCAAGTCTCCTTTGCTGTTGCAAGTTCCCAAAGCGCCGTAAGCAGAATTCGAAATCCACTACAAACGATGCAGCTCTCCAGCCAATCCCTGCTCTGCCCCCTCCTACTGAGGAAGAACATCAAGAATCCGTTAAGAAGAATCGACAGTCCCTCATAGGCTTGCCGGACACGGCTTGGGCAATGCCAGTACGCAATAGTTCTTTCGAGAGCGGCTCTATCATACGTCAGCATGTGGATGACGACGATTCTGATTCGGATCAAGATCGAGCACAATCAACAAAGAAGCCCAGCACTGCCTTTGATACTGTGCGCAATAAGCTCATTCGTAGCATCTCACATAACAACAATAGCGATCACCCATCTCATGTCTCCATTGGGAACAGTGAAGAGGAGATTGCACGCAGAGCCGAATTGAAGCGCATCATGCACCAAAGGATTCAGGATGAGCTCAAGTCAGATGAGTCAGATGATCACATTGAGAGTAAACCCACGAACAGCATCCGATGTATGGCTTCAGTCGTTGATGTGACCTTACCTAATTCTGGACCCCGAGATGCTATTGAATTCGGCGTTAGCAAGTCTTCTTCTCGCAATGGACAATCTGCTCAAATCGACTCAGATCAGGCCGACCAGGATACTTGTCGAAACAGTCGAGTTTCCCAACAAGGTGCAAACAGGTCAGAAAGCGCATCTTCACGGACGTCAGAGTTCATTAACGGCGATAATGATTGGAGAAAAGATGACATGCATTCAAGTCCCTCTCCTCCTTACCCCCGAAGGCACGTTTCAGCGAGCGAAGACGTTGACTTCACACATTCTCAGAAGTCTTTCCAGCTGTCCAACGGCGCTGGGCGTCTCGACCGTATTCTGGGACCAGATAGCAGTTTCAACAGCCGCCACGCTTCTTCGGGAGATGGGCACTCTGCTCTTGGCGTATGGCTCATAGCCCAGGGCCTCCGCTCAAGAGACAACTCAACCCTTTTCCTTGACGAAGAAGACGAACTAGCACCCACTGAAGAAACTAAGCTAACTGATCAAAACACTTATTTATTGAGTCAGGAGGAGGGGGACCAGACCCAAGAGCTTCGAGAGACGTCAGCAAATGCAAATCCGCATATACCCCTTGAAACAACTATTATTAACACACCCAATACGGGGAAAACCTACTCTCGGTCTAATTTAAATGTACACAATGATCGCCACGAAATATCAGGCTTATCCGGAGAGCCGCCATGGGGTCCTACTGTAACAGCCCTTCTCAATTCATTTACCGACCACACCTCTTCAAGTGACCCATCAAAGTCACAGCCTAGTCCAATGCGATCTCAGCAGAATCTTTACAAACTTGACCCCAAGGACCTGGAGAGTATGGAGCTATCTCCGTTCAAATGTAAATGATTTCTTACTACCACTTTTTGACTGACTAACATGATGAGAAGGGCGAACCCATACTTCTTCTCAAGACCAAGAAAATGCCAACGACCAGAACTCCAAGAGTTTGAATATCAGCGTTTCCCAGACAAGATCTCATTCCTATGAAAACATTCTCAATATTGAATTTCCAGTGCAGGTTCCACAAGACACGACCTCCTTAGCTCAATCAGAATCTGCCAGCTTCCTTCAACGTGAGGCTGAGCTCGGGTCCATCAGGCGACGTTTCAGTGAAGCATTGGCACTGAGGAAACCAGAAAAAATAGTGGTTACACGATTCCGTGAGGAGTTCTCCGAATCTTCGCTGTCACCAGCTGCCCAAAAGTCTTTCAGAAGCAAAATCCAGCTGGCAATTCCGAGTCACCTTAGGGCGAAATCTGAGGGCATTGACCTCCGACACCAAGAGGGCACCTCTGGCCTACCCAAGGGGCAAAATTACCTGCTTGTCCCTGTGGAAAGATTGGGAGGGCACGAAAGAGAAGCGAGTGACAGGTTAAAGGGTCGTTCGAATTTGAGCATTCGACCTCACATGAGTCGACTGCCAACCGAGGAGTATCAGAAGCCAATATTAGAGCGCCGAGAGAGCGCAACAGACCTGTGGCAACGGGCCATCAGACTTGAAGCTGAGGGAAGACACAGCAGCAGTATTCATTTAAGTACACCAAGGCCAGACCAAAGAAGTCAGGCCTCCAACAGGTCACTAAACGAGATAGGAGCAGCTAGAAATAGCGCCAGAAGTGTCTCGGACACGAGACGAGAGGTCTCTCAGCTAACTCCCACAACGGATGAGCTGTCTTCGCCGGGTAACTCAAAGTGGCTCATTGAGCGCTGGGTTGCCACAATGCGACCCAGGATAGGGGAATCAGCAGGAGATATGAGGTCAGCACGACTCACGGGACCTCCAAAGTCTTGGTCCAGATTCCCGTCCCATAATAGAGAGGAAAGAAACAAGAATGCGACAGATAGAGACCGAGTGCACCCCAGAGATTTTGCGGTCAAACATATGACATCTGAAGGCCAGATTAGATGGGCTACAGATGTGCCCATTGGTGAGGCAAAGCAGCGTGCACGTACTCTGCCACGGACCTTTTCAACCAAATTTGGTGACTTGGCCAAGTCAAAGATGGGACGGGTTATCTCATCCAAAGGTATACGACACCGTGTAAGTCAAGATCATTTCACAAGACATGCTGCCTTAAGTTCAGCTCGTATGGAATACCCCGAAATGGGGATTCGACCTTCAGAATCTGGATACACCGAGCTTCAAGCACTGGGAAGAGAGATCAGCAACATGAAGGGGGAGCCTTACCGGCAGATCCCGGAGAGGGAGCTATCGAAGCCACAGTCTTCCAGGAGCTTGGGCGATAGAGTTGTTGCTTTAATGCACGAAGCTATTGGGCAACGACACTCGAAATATGACGACGCTACCGAAGTCGCCGAGTGCACAACAGTTCCTCTTACCCCAAGCGTGGTCAGGGAGAGCATTGCCGCAACAGATGTATTCGTCACGCCGAGGAGCCGATTTTCGAATGACGCCATGGATGGAGAAGCAAAGAATGGAACAGAAGCGGATTCCAATAAGGTGAAAGACCAGAAGACACAAGTGACGCTACCTGAGAGTGCCGGCGACGCTCCCCCGAGCAACTTCTCAACCAATATCAAAGACGTTGGATCCCACCACACACAACTTTCGACGGCCGAAAAGGGCTCGACTTAACTGCAACAGTCTGTTTAAAGGAAATTAATTTATTACCACGGCTATATTGGCCGGCAAGCACACTTGTGAAAATGCTAGATATCCTAGGAAGGGGAGGACATGACAAGCACCATGTACTTGTGAAGGAGACCGCACAAGGGAATTTTATTCATTCTGTCTTTTTAGCCTTCTGTAAGTAATAAGCTTTACGTATGCTATCTCTAATACCAGAGTGTCATTATTCTGCTCCCCTGTCAATAGGTCGTGTTTCTTGGTTCATTGGTAGACTTTTGTGCGCCATGACCAAGCCTTCCTGTGTATCCTGTTATGCTGCAATCCGATCAAACATGGGTGGAGTGATGACCACCGGTTGCACCTAGCATAGGGGAGTATCGGTACCAAGGCAGCAAGAAGGAAGCCGGCGTTGTGTGACACTCGCATTGCATCCAAAGGAGGCCGTGCCGTAATTAAACGACTTCCTTCTCTTTCTCCTTTTCTTCGCTTCTTAGCTCATAACGCTCCTTTCTAGCTCTCGCTTCCTCCTCTTTCCGCTGCATTTCCTCCTTTCGCTCACGTAGCGCAATGCAGAACTTTGAGCGAGATCGGATACTGGGACCCTTCCAGATGAAAATAAACGGAATGAAACACATGAGTGCACTGAGACCACCAAGAAGAGAGCATGCACCATTAATGTGGAGTTGACGGAACATGGGGTTTGTGGCAAGTGGTAGCACAACAGCAAAGAGAGAGCGTGTCGTGGAGGATGCAGCATTCGCAGAGGCAGCAAAGATCTCATATGCATCTGTGAGGTAGTTGAGTATGGCCATGAAAATCAGCATGAAGCCCATTCCAAACAAGACACCAGCAAGCATAGGGGCTGCGAAGGAAATCTCTGCACGGGCAGACCAGCCGAGCCAGAAAAGGGAGACGACGAAGAGCGGACCACCGAGACAGGCTAGAGGTAGACGACGATACTCTTCGCGTTGAACCCAGGGAGCATTACGCTCCGTAGCACGAGCAAGTGTGTTATCCCATGTCCAGAAGATGGGAAGCGTCAGAGCTGCACCACCAAATATTGGAAGATATGCGAGGCCAGTAACACCGGGTGAAAGGCCATAGACGTCTTGGAAGATAATTGGGAATGCCTGGAAAGACATGTAGAAGATGGAGTAGACAAGGGCGAGATAGGCGCAAGAGGTTGTCACGATGGGCTCAGATATGATCATGCGAAGAGGGCGAGTCAGAACCACAGTGAGGAGCTGTCTTAGATCTGTTGTCTCGAGGTCTCGAGGGGCAATGGCACGAGATGAAGGATCCTGCTTGCGGAGTTTTCGAGCGCGGCGTGAGAGGAGAATTGGGCCGTATGTCTCGGGGAGAAAGATGATGAGGACGAGTGTAGTGCCTGCGATGATGAGAGCAATCCAGAAGACCCAGCGCCAACCAATATTAGGACCAGCGAAGCCAGATAGGATGGGAGATAGGATGGGACCACCAGTAGTACACTATTGCAAGGTCAGCTTATACCACACATACAGGAATTTGTGAAGATGATTGATATATACTCACCACCATGAAAATAGCAAACGCTCTGCCTCTTGTTCGCGGATCATTATACACATCTGCCAGGATACCAGCCACGATGGCGATAGGTGAACTAGCAAAAGCTCCACAGAAGAAGCGGAAGATCAAAAGAGCAGGCCAAGTCGGAGCCAGAGCACACGCCATAGTGAAGATGGTGAAGAGGCAGAAGGTGGCCAGACTTAGATCCCTTCGTCCATAGTGTTCGCTAAGAGGGCCCCAGACAACCGGGCCTAATACATAGCCGATAAGGTAAACAGAGATGGGTAAGACGCTTTGTTCTTCTGAGGTGATGCCGAAGTCTTTGGTTATATCAGGGATGGCCATACTTGGAAGGGCAGAGCCCATGGTAGAGTTGATGACGAGAACGGATGTACATAGTACAACTATTTTCTTTTTGGTCTATTACAAAGGTCTATGGTTAATAGGGCAATTCTGTTGTGAAGAAACGAAAGCAGGCTGAAGGACATACATCTGACCAATTGACTGGATTCTCAGGATCGTCAACTTCCCAAGTGACGAGGACTTCATTTGTGCGGCTCCGTGTCCGAGAACGGATGTTGTGAAGGGCGCCAAGACCTCGGTCCGCTGCCTCTTCTTCATACCGGGATTGGGCTTCGATTTCGTCGAGATGATGTATGTGATCTGAGAATGAGCTGCTTCTTCTCCGTCCACCTAGGAAATTGTGAGCTTGGGTTCACTCCAGAATACAATACTTCGGTATTGGGAAATATAATAACATTGGTAATAACTTACGGTATGGTGACGGTTCCCGTGTAGTCTCACTGGATTCACTTGCAGTCATGGTTTCTTGGCGTATGGAGACACTGAAGCTATTCACATGAGAAAGCAATCAATCGGAAGAGTTAAACAGCAGTAGCAGCTATATTCATATGATGTTGAAAAGAAGAGAACTAACAATACGGACAAGCACACGAAGTGGATAGGTTCTGCGTGCACTCTTCTCCCCCATGACACTTCAAAATGGCCGATACGGTGGGTTTGCATATCCATTGGCTAAGTGGCTACGCCCTCCCTCTTCTTCATCTCATTTGGGTTGCTACAGTAAGGCGTAATCCAATCCATGGAGGCATCTGTGTGGCAATTCCCCATAACTACCACAACAGGAGATCCGGAGCCGGGCTTCAAATATGGGGCACTCGTGGGTAAAAGGTGGGATTCGCGGCGCCGATGATGGAGGCGGCGGATGTGGCCCATGAGCTTGAGGAGCTATCTGCGGGAGCGTCTTCCGCAGGTGAGGGGAGGTCGTAGGGCGTCATGAGAGCCTTTGTTATCATTCCCGGGAGCAGTTTCAAGGGTACTACAGCTCAATTGTCGATAGCCTGAAGAGTTGGTCCCGCATTAGCTTGAATCAACTCAAAGAGCGAGCGAATCGGTGTTGTTTGGTCATCAAAGTTGGGATTGCTCGAAGTGGTTCTTGGTGACCGATAAACCGGGAATAGCAACCGGAGACAAGACCAAGGAGGTGAGCCCTTCCATCGACATGCAAGTTGCTGACCCGGCTCTCGATACCGAGTGCGTGACCGGTGACCCCCAATGGCATTACAAATAAAGTTGCCCACAAACGTTATGATGTGCAGAAGAATTGCTGCATTCACGAAACACTGGGTAAGAATTCTTCCGGCTGAATCGGTGTGGCTTTTTTTTTTTTTTTTGGTTTCTTGGGGGGTTATCAGGCTTCGATTTTCTTTGTTCAAGTCTCTAGGTTGATCTGCTTTCCGAATCTGGCATATAGCTCGACCTTGAGCTTGGTCATCTCCTCGCGGATGGATGATAGCTTCTCCTCCAACGATGTTGACTCTTCCTCAAGCTTCTCTGTTGCTTCCTCCAGCATCTCCTGAGCCTGCTCTACCGAGACATGGAAAAAGGCATCGCCGATCTTGTATCTGTGTCGAAGTCAGCCTATGATGTTTTCTCGACTCAGGGGGTATTTCGAGTTCGTACTGGATCTTTTCGTCCTCGTCGGCGAGTTCAAGTTCGGTGGACAAATCGTCGAGCTCTTCCTTTTCCTTCTATATAGTAATATTGAATCAGTCGGTGTTCAGCAAGCCTCTTGAAGCATGTCGAGGTTTGGTTATCGTAGACGTACGGTTTTTGTGTTCAGCTCCTCCTCCAAAACGATTTCTCGCTGGTGTAGGCGACTGAATCTGTTGATCTTGTCCTGGTCCTCACGTCGAACCTCAACCTCGTCGGCTGCCTCCTCGTCCGCCTTTGAAAGCTAGAGGGCTGTCAGATATACTGGGGTCATACTTGGTATCATGGACAGCTTACCATACGACGTTGTACTAATGAAGCCATGGTAAGAGACTGAAGATGCTATTGCTATTGTACAGATCTCAAGCTTGAGCCTTGCGCACAATCAATCCCAATCCAAAGGTGGGTTACAGTGCGTGTTTTCAGTCGTTGAACTGGCACTGTACACCCCTCACAGGAGAGGCAGGGGCTTCGATTTGAGGGTGTGAAGCTCAAGGTACGTACTGTAGGCTTCTCGGGCGCTGCCGATTGGCTTATTCCCGAAGTTTAGGTCAGTGAGGTCAGAGTAGCAACAGTAGAACACGCATTGTCAACACTGCAAACTAACAAAACAACAACCACCTCTCATCGACCATGGCGCTCGGAAAGAAACCATACCCCAAAGCGACGGTCAAGAAGATCATTAAGGCTCATTCAAACCACAATTTAAAGAAAAATGCCGATGTTACTGTGCGTTTGGATAGCCTCATGGTCGCAATTGATGCTAATGTTTACTTGTCTTAGATCTTCCTCGACTACGTCCTATTCATGGAAACGTACGAACCCGACGAATGCCTCTATACCACGACGATTTAAACTAACTAAATTAAAAGTCTTATCAAAGAAGCGGCGATCCATTCGAAACAGTCCGGCGAACGAGGTCTCTCTGCGAGGAGTGTCAAGAAGGTGACGAGAGTATGTTTTGTGAAGCATCGTCTCTCTGCATCTGCTGATCCGTGCTGCTTAGGATACCTTGACCAAATTCAAGGGTTGAACGAAACAAAAATCTGCGATAAGCAATAAAATCCACCAAACTTAGAACGTTGTTGTGATCATCAAAAGCCGAGCCGCCATTGAGAGCTATACAGACATAGACGCGACGTCCGACATGATACGGCAGTATCGTATGCACGGAAACTATTGCAGGCTGGGGAAGAAAGGCTCTGTATAATAACCCCTGACGAATTCCGCGACTGGGAAGAGGACATCGCCCACCTCACCTAACCTCAGCTGAATGCGACGATTGGGTGGGGCTTTTTCTTGTCATGACGATGATGCAGGCCAACGAGAGAACACTCCGTCTCTTCAAACAATACATAGATTAGGACAATCAATGGATGAGCCTTCATAAAAAGACTATATATACCCAGCCTAAATATCATCATAAAGTGAACCCATTTTTGAACATAATTGTATAAAGCAATTGGCAGCCCCGTATTCTTGACCAGAAACAATGACAGTGTCAATGCAGGGGGTTGCCTGGGCACTTTGAGGTTAGTGCTGGCACTGGCTGGCACAGACGGGCAAAGCTTCGTCGCTGTGTACCACAACTCGGACTTCTCCTCTCCTTCTCCTTCTCCAGCTCAGCTACCTTACCTTACTCTTCTCCACCAACTGCTTCTCCCAAACTCAACTCTTCTCTCTCCTCCAAAACATTCTAAACGCATCACTAGCATTCAGCATTTTCAAATTCTTAGACCTTCAACGAACCATCGCCTCTATAAGCCTGTCGCACACATCGCTGACAGTGCCATAACGTCTCCGCGCAAACTCTCTACCACTAAATCACACGATCTCTGCATCCTACCGCGATGGCTGCTCAAGCTGTTCAGCCTTCCAAGTCCGCGAAGAAGAAGGCCGCCAAGGCCCTCGAGCGAACCGAATCCCCTGCGCCTAGCGTTGCCTCTGCCACTGCCGATAAGAACAGCGATGACAGCTTCGAGAGCCCATACATCAAGGAGATCCAAAAGTAAGTTTTTGGAACCTGAGTTACATATACAAAGACGGTAGAATGCTAACGGCGATAAAGGAACATCCGAAATGTCAACAAGAAGATCGTACGTGCCTTTTTGCACTGTTGCCGCCCAACTGTCGATCGTCGTCATACTGACTTTACCGTTAGACCAACGCTTCCAAGACCGACTCCCTCCTGAGCCAGAACCCCGGCAAGTCGCTCGATGAATTGGTCGAATCTCGAATCATCAACAACGACCAGAAGGCCCAGATCCTTAAGAAGCCCGCTCTGCAGGCCCAGCTTGCGCAATACGAGGAGCAGCTTGTGCAATACCAAAAGGTTGACGAGCAGTACCGCACACGTGCCGCCAGTGACAAGGCAGAATGGGAGAAGAACTTGGAGAAGGCCAAGGCCGATGCTGTTGCAGAGGCTAAGGCTGAGTCTACCAAGGCTCTCCATGACAACCTCCTCGTCCTCTCACAATTCCTGCGACTTGCTGCCTACCGCCGCGAGGAAGCTCAGGACCCCGACTCTGATGAGAGCCAAGCTATTGAGGGTGTACTTCTTGCTATCTACTCTGGCGACGAGAATGCTGTCCAGTCTATGCTAAAGCTTGTCAACGGCTCTGAGGATCAGATTTTCAGCGTGCCTGGCGAGCAGCTACAGACCTCCTGTGAGTATCCCAATCCAACCTCAATTCAGACTTGCCTCTTCTAACAATGCTCAGTCTCTAAGGTAAAGGCCCTCGCTCAAGAGTACAAGACTCATTTTGATGAGTCCCAGCCTGCTGAGGGTGACGCCGAGCACGTTAAGGATGTTGCTACCGATCCTACTATTGCGCACGCTGCCGCTACCGAGATTGAGGCTGGCGACACCGCCGCTCCTGCTGTCACTGAGCCCTCTTCTACCTCCAACGGCCTGGCCAACGCCAGTGTTGCTGATGACGCTGCTAATGCCGTCGCCGAAAGCCATTGGGACACGAGTAACGATCTGTCTGCTTCGCAGGAGTGGGTCGATGTGAAGCCTGCTGAGGCTGTTGAGGCAGATGCTGCTGCTCCCACTCGCGTTGCCAACACCCACTCCTGGGCTGATGACCACCCGGAGGTAGGTTGACTATTTACTCCATATTATACGATCAGATGCTAACAAATCAGACCACTGCCCCCGCTGATCCCAACGACGGATTCCACCAGGTGCAGCGAAAGGGTCCCCGTAACGATGGCGGCAACCACCGAGGTCGCGGACGAGGCGAGCACCGTGGTCGAGGTGGTTTCCGCGGTGATGGTCGTGGGCGTGGCCGCGGTCGTGGTGGTGCTGGTCGAGGCGGACGACGCAGCGACGAGTCTTAAGCACCTCCAAACATGGCATGCGGTAAACACACAAACTTACGAATCTCCTTTTATCTCCCGGAGGCAAATGTACATCATGAGATGACGGCGTTTACAAGTCAAGATTTCTATCTAGGGGGAATAGCCAGGGGACGGACGGTGGACTTGAGGACTTTGCATTTTGGGGTTTTGATGATTTTGGGACTCGGATATACATCTGGCCACGGTGTCGGTTGGAGTTCTCTATACCTTTGTAACAAAATAGGCCTTCCGGGGATTGGGCAGTAGGTAAACAATGTGAATGGATACCCGCCAAATGTGTTTGATGTGTGATACATGCTTCAAAGTCGTGTGAAGATTGTAGATTGAGCCATTGAGTTATAGTATGGTTCGAAAGGCTATCATGAAGATCGGAACCACGTAATATGTCAAGAGTATCTTGTCATTATATGATCCTGGACATGTTACGCTGCCTCATGATAAGGCTGAGAGTCGAAGCTAGAGCTTGAGAGTGTGCCGTCATATGGTTGACAGGGGTCTTGGAGAGTGTGGGGAGCTCAAAGTGCTATGTCATTGGTAGATTAATTGACCACATTTTGCGAACTGAAGAAGAAGAGCAAAGGCCACGTGCATTGATTCTTATGATGAGGCCATAAATGAAACAGCATTGAATAGTTTTTTCCGGTGGACCTGACTCAAGGCAACCAAGCACCAAGAAACATATCTTGTTCGCATAGCAGTTAGAGAAAAGTTCATACGTCTAGATAACCGTATGATCTCTACATCAAAGTTCAACTCTTATCCCCAAATCATACTATGCAATTGTAAATCGAGTCAGTATGATCATGAAATTACCCAAGATGGTATACCTCCACCCCATCATAAGTTATAGCCTAATTACCAAACATCATGAACTTCTGAGACCAAATAGGCCACTTGTCACTATTCGGTCGGTAGTTGGGGAATCCTGGGGCTTTGATGTGTCAAGCGAACTCGATGCTAGAGCGAAGCCTTGACTCGAATGTTCCACTGTAAACTCTTATCGCTCCAATAATTTTGAGTTTTCTCTTATCTGTCTCTCAGCCTTGCATTAGAACTAACGTCACCGCCGCTATTGTACCTATTGTTAGCTGTCCTCTTTCCATGAGTGGCTGGACGCTTCCACTAACTTAGCTTCTAACAGCCATCGTGGCTTCTTGCTCCCCCATTGGAAGAGGTCTCCATTCTGGCCACATCGTCCTATCTTCTCTCTCTCTTCTTTAACTTATATATACAAAGAAAAGAGTTTCTCCGGGCTTTTTATTTTCCTGCCCATAGACGTTATCGTCTTTTCGCTCTCTTTCTCAAGAGGCAACGCTCCTCATTGATAAAAAGACATACTCTCTTCGAATTGGTGTGCGCAACTGAGCGCACCCCCACCAAAACCACCATCATGGCATCTCGAGTCTCGCCGCTCATGACGCTTTTGGCGACAATCTTCCTCTTCGCCACAAATGTTTTCGCAATTTCAGCTGTTTTGGGTGTCGACCTTGGTACCGAGTACATCAAGGCCACGCTTGTCAAGCCTGGAATTCCTTTAGAGATTGTCCTAACAAAGGACTCCCGACGAAAAGAAACCTCCGCCGTTGTCTTTAAGCCCTCCAGAAATGGACCTCAGAAGGGCGAATACCCTGAGAGGGCCTATGGTGCCGACGCCATGGCTCTCGCCTCTCGATTCCCTAGCGACGTCTACCCGAACCTCAAGACTATCCTCGGCCTGACCACTCAAGATTCTGTGGTTCAGGAGTACGCTGCCCGACACCCCGCGCTGCAATTGCAGTCCCATCCTACACGAGGCACCGCCGCTTTCAAGAGCAAGTCTTTCACTGATGATGTCGAAGCCTGGATGGTCGAGGAGCTGCTCGCTATGGAGCTGCAGAGCATCCAGAAGAACGCTGAGGTGGCCGCTGGAGATGGAACCACCGTCCGCTCCATTGTCCTGACTGTTCCTCCTTTCTACACCGCCGATGAGAAGCGGGCTCTTCAGACTGCTGCTGAGCTTGCTGGTCTTAAGGTTCTGGGACTTCTCAGCGATGGTCTCGCCGTTGGTTTGAACTACGCTACTACCCGAGAGTTCCCCAACGTCAGCAACGGATCTAAGCCCGAGTACAACATCATTTTCGACATGGGTGCTGGCTCCACCAAGGCTACTATCTTAAAGTTCCAAGGCCGATCTATTAAGGATATTGGCAAGTTTAACAAGACTGTTCAGGAGGTCCATGTCCTTGGCGCTGGTTGGGACCGCACTCTTGGTGGTGACTCCCTGAACTACCTCATTCTGGATGACATGGTCAAGCAATTCGTCGAGTCCAAGGCCGCTCAGAGGGCTTCCGTCGCTGCTGAGAGCGTCAAGTCCCACGGCCGCGCCATTGCGAAGCTCGCCAACCAAGTCGAGAAGGTTCGCCATGTCTTGAGTGCCAACCAGAACACTGGAGCCAGCTTCGAGGGCTTGTACGAGGACATCGACTTCCGATACAAGATTACCCGCACTCAGTTCGAGGAGATGGCTGCTGAGCATGCTGAGAGAATCACTGTTGTTATCAACGACGCCCTGAAGGCCGCTAACCTTGACGTCATTGACATCGACTCTATCATCCTCCACGGTGGTGCTTCTCGCACTCCTTTCGTCCAGAAGGTCCTTGAGAAGGTCTCTGGCTCTCCTGAGAAGATTCGATCTAACGTCAACTCTGATGAGGCCGCCGTTTTCGGTGCCGGCTTCCGCGCTGCTGAGCTCAGCCCTAGCTTCCGTGTCAAGGAGATCCGAATTGCTGAGGGTGGTTTCTACCCCTCTGGTGTGAAGTGGGAGACCAAGGAGGGTAAGACTCAGCACCAGCGACTCTGGTCTGCTGTCTCCCCTCAAGGCGCTGCCCCTAAGGAGCTTACATTCACCAACGAGAAGGACTTCACTGCTACTTTCTACCAGCAAATTGGCTCTGACGAGAAGGATGTTAAGACTCTGAATACCAAGAACTTGACTGCCACCATCGCTGCTATCAAGCAAAAGTACCCCTCTTGCGTTGAGTCCGAGGTTCGCTTCAAGCTCGGTGTCAAGCTCAGCGGCGAGAATGGTGAGGTCGAGATTGCCAAGGCTGCTGTCGAGTGCGAGGCCGAGGTCAAAGAAGGTCTTGTGGATGGTGTCAAGAACCTGTTTGGTTTTGGCAAGAAGGATCAGAAGCCTCTCAAGGATGGTGAAGGCTCTGAGGAAGAGATGAAGGATGACAAGTCTTCTTCTTCCACTGCCTCTTCCGAGTCTTCTACTGCTTCAGGAGCCGACTCTGCCGCTTCTGGAAGCACCGAGGAGGTCAAGCCTGAGGCCAAGAAGCGAGAGATTGTTGGTATCCCTGTTGAGATCACCATTGAGAACCGCGGTATTCCTGCCCTTACACCGGCCGAGATTTCCAAGTCTAAGGACCGTCTCAAGGCCTTTGCTGCCTCTGACAAGGCGCGCCTACAGCGAGAGGAGGCTCTCAACCAGCTTGAGGCATTCACATACAAGATTAGGGATCTCCTTGAGGGTGATGCCTTCATTGCGGCTTCTACCGAGAAGGAGAGGGCCAAGTTGGCCGAACTTGCCAGTGAGACAAGTGACTGGCTCTACGCTGATGGTGCAGAGGCTACCAAGGATGTTCTCAAGTCCAAGCTCAAGGTTCTCAAGGACCTGGTCACACCCATTCAGAAGAGGGTTGAAGAGACTGAGAAGCGACCTGAATATACTACTGCATTAAAGCAGACTCTGGAAAACACTCAGGGATTCGTTGACAAGATCAAGGGGCAGATTGCCGAGCATGAGAGCTGGCACAAATCTGCCTCTGAGTCCGCCTCTGCATCTTCATCAATTGAGTCTTCCAGCACAGAGGTTGCGGGAGAGAAGGCCACTGGTGACTTTGACGGACTTGAAGACGAAGATCCTGCGGTCGCGGAGGCCCGCAAGATGGAGCAAGTCATTAGGGAGAAGGGACCTATCCCTCCTCTGTACACATTGGAGGATCTCAAGGAAGTCATTGATCTTCACAAGGCCACGCTAGACTGGTTGAATGATCTCGAGGCCAGGCAATCTAAGCTTGCTGCCACTGCCGATCCTGTGCTTCTCATCAAGGACCTCAAGGCCAAGCGTGACAAGCTCGAGAAAGTCAGCGTTGAGGCCGCCCTCAAGGGTGCCAGAAAGGTGGAGGAGAAGAACCGACAAGCTAAGAAGGCCGCCAAGGAGGCTAAGAAGAAGAGCAAGAAGAGCAAGACAGCAAGCGGAGAGGCATCACAGGAGACAGTGCAGCTTAACGCCGAGGACTTCATGAAGGACGGCGAGATCGATAAGGAGCAGCTCGAGAAGTTGCTCAACGATATGAAGAAGGAGAACGAGAAGAATGAGAAGAGCAAGAAGAGCGAGGGAGAGAAGAAGCAGACTCATGACGAGCTATAGACGATGGCGTATTGACTTTTGATCTTGGCTTTCTTGTAACGAAAAAGAAGGTAGAGCTGGTTGTTGTTGATACGCATCTTGATTGATTGATACCGGGTCAGATGATGAACGATAGAATATCTGACTCTGACTATACTTACCATATGAAGTAGAATACCATGAAGAGGGACATATGAATTTCTCACCAATGATTGATGAACGGGGAGCAAATGTGAGATGTTTAGTGAAGTGTATGCGGGTATGTCGGTCCTGTTCCACGGGCCGTATCGCTTAGATACATTGGTCAACGGGTCCGCGAGTAACGAAGCATTATATCGTGTCCTTTCCTGTCTCTACCCGTTCCACGTCCATGTCTACCTACCTAGTATCGTTACCCATCCTCATGGCCTCGTGAGCCAATCTCATGACCTATCTCGAGTACAGGTCCCATAACTGTCTTTCCAAGATGAATCTTCAACGTGCGTCGATTGTTGCTACCAGAGACGTGGATTGGATATCGTGCATTGTTACGTCGCAGTTGCAGGTTCCCGTGTTTGTCCCTGGAGCTGTAGGCGAGAAAAACGACCCGATTACAAGAGGTTGTGTAATGGTCGGCGCGAGGTGATGGGCTTGTCTATGAGGAGTGGTTTTGGGTGGTACAGAGCGTGGCCGAGGACCTAGATATGGAGTTTGGTGATATAGGGGTCTCGGCCTATACTACTAGAATGAGACGTTGCGAGGATAACAGGAGCTAGATTGCTGGAATGTCAAGCAGTGTTTGATAGTGCTGTACTGTCTTGGCCGAGAAAGTGCCCGGCAGTGTTAATAGCTGTAACTGTAGCACTTCCCTCGGGGTCTGATATTTAGATGATTCACTGGCGCTGTCTACCAAGTTCCAGATTCCCTTCCTTCTTCCTCTGTTTGCTTCGTCAATCTCTCTGAGTTACACCTTCCTGTGCATTACATCATCCAGTCAAAGTCTCCCGTTAGAGCTTTCCTCTTGTTTATCTCATAGTTCTTCTTCTCAACTTTCTCTTTCACCTCTTTTCAAATCCTCAACTCGTCTCCTTCGGTCTGAATCATGGGGAGCCTCGTTTTCTTTGCTGTGCTCTTGGCAGTCAGTATTGCTTCTGCTTCTGTCACTCCTGAACATCAAGGCCGAAAGGGCTTTTCTCTTGAGGCGGCCAAGAAGTCGAATTCCAAGCCCGATTTCGTTCGAGAATGGGTGGCAGCTCACCAGAAATGGGGAAAGGGTGTCTCTCCAGAGACTTTGTCTGCATTCTCACTTCTTGATGATGGTATGGGCCTTGCTATATTTCGTATTTCCTTAGGTATACTAATCATCCTGCAGATGGTCGTGTCGATGTGAAGCCCCTTGGAGCAGATGAAATCTACATCGCCGACGTCAAAGTTGGAACTCCGCCTCAGACCCTCAAGATGGCCCTCGACACTGGCTCTGCAGACTTGTAAGAGACGCGACCTTAAGATACGAATAATTTATGCTTACCCCCACTGCAGGTGGGTGCAATCTATGGACACAATCTATCGAGCCAACCCCGAAGGTCCTTGGGCACCTCGATACAAGCCCAACTCTTCCAAGACATCTCACCGACTTCGCGATGCCGAATGGGAAGTCGAGTATGGTGAAAACAACCCACGCCGTTTACCTGTTGGGACATGGTATACTAACACGCTTCGCAGTTGACGGAACTCATGCTAATGGCGTCGTCTACCTCGATACCGTGCGTCTGGGAGACTTTGAACTCAAGAATACAGCTATCCAGTCTGCTCAAATCGTTGCCCCTCGCTTTGAGCGCGAAACTGAACTCACAGGCATCTTGGGCCTTGCCAAGTCTCTTCCTAGCAACATCGACCCTCCGACTCCGTCTCTCCTCGATAAGCTTCGTCCACTACTCGACGATCCAGTCTTCACTGTCGATATGCGTCGAAACGCGACAGGTCGCTTTGATTTTGGTTACATTGACGAGAGCCGAGCCAAGGACAACATCTCATGGATGGCCACACGAGAGGATAGCCCCCATTGGGACGTCACATTCGATACCACAGCCTGGACCGGTCTTCGTCAAGTCTGGATGGCACACACCTTCGAGGCTACTATCGACACGGGAACTACACTTCTGTTCCTGCCCGGAGACCTTGCCAGTATGTACTGGTACGACGTTCCAGACATGAGGGTTGATCCTCGTCTCGGCGACTCGTTCACGTTTCCTTGCAAGTTTTCCAATGATCTTCCAGACTTGATGTTCAAAGTGCCAGGTACAGAGCACATTTTGAAGATCCCTGGGCCGTACCTCAGCTACAGCACAACCGACAACGATTCGGATTACTGCTGGGGCGGTTTGCAGAGTGCAGAGAGCTTGGGAGTGACCATCATTGGCGATATTGCGCTCAAGGCCCTGTACGTCGCGTTTGATCTCGAGAACAACAAAGTCGGGTTTGCCAACAAGGATCTCGATGATATCGATGAATGGTAGTGGTAGTGTGGATTTCGCGTTCTGCAAGTTAGAGCATGTCAGTATGTAATTCTGAAGCTGTCGATGCAGGTCGGCTATTATGATGCTTTGTAAGATGGTAAGAGCTAGAGCCAGTCATGTGTAATAAAGTCAAAGCGATATCAGAACTCGAGGGCAGAAGTGAGGCACTGTTCAAGTAACGAGGTAAAGAATTACCCATGTATTTCCACCAGTAACTGGAAAAGAGATACATATAAACCTCATTATTTCGGCCGTGAATCAAGTCGATTGAGGTACTGTTGATGCACTTGCTATCAATTGATATGCATACCCGTCCATCCAAATACGTTCCCGTCCTGTTCATTCCATCCCATCTCATCTCATATAAACAGTCCAGTCCCAACCCAGTCCATCCAATCCACGCATTCATACACATCCACTATGCTAGACGTGGACGTTATCCTCCCATAAACAATATGCAGCAGCCTGACGCAACAGTAGAAGCGAGAGGATGAAAATAATAATGATAAAATGATGTTGCAAATGCTGCCTCTATGAACGCCGGGAATCTTGGTAGCGAACGACAAAAAAAGGGGGGGACTCAGGCTGGGGATGCGTCGTTGATTTCCCCCGGCTCCTGAAAACTCCTCCAGCAACCGAAAAACATTGCTATAAAAAAATTAGTCGAGGGCGTTTGACGTTATTAATGCGCCTCGGCTGTAATTCGTGGCTTTCTTCGAAACAATGAATTGGCCAGTTGTCGAGGGGCGCGCCGAGTCAGGCTTGAAACATGAGGTGGTCCCGTAAAAGATGAACGGTCGAGGAGCGAATTGCGGTCTGGCCAAGGGTTGCATGCAGCCGTTGGTTCTCCGCGCCCACTACCGTCCACTAGCTCATGAGGGGTGGCAGCTCTCTTGTAAGAGGCTGCTGACTGGCGTTGATGAGTGAGGTGCCCTCGATAGAATTGAATGGTTCATGGAGAGGAGGGGAGCAGCAAAAAAAGGTCAGATTGCTTTATTCATGATCTCCGTCTTTATAAAAAGTCAAAAATATTCGTCAGCGCGGGCCGTCTTGCAAGTCATCGCGGGTGACGACGTAGTATTCACCTTCACTGGCACCCGGGGTCGGGGGCATGTTGCCCGAGGAGGGAGCTTGCTGAGCAGCGCGGGCCGTTCCCGGTCGTGAGCGAGCCTTGGAGTCATCCGTGGGAGCATCGAGAGAGCTTGGCTGCTGCTGCTGCTGCTGAGTCTGGGACTGGTTGGCGGTCTGTGTCTGGACCTGTGGCAGGGGAGAGCGGTGCTGGGTGCTGCCTCCAGAGCGGCGTAGGCGATCTTCCATTTCGCGGATGCGGGCTTCGAGAGAGGCGAGTTCTTCGGTGTTCTTGTCGACTGTTTGCTTCCTGAAGAGGGTGAAATGTGGTTAGACGCAAGGTTTCGTGAATGAAACGGTGATTAAGTGGTAGACCAACTTATCGTGGACTTGCTGATCCAGATCGGTGAGGGAGTTCTCGATGCGGAAGATGTCCATCAACTCTGCACTAAAAGAGCGGGCGATGGTGCTATATGAGAGATGCATGTTAGGTCTTGGTTCGCGATCACATTGAATTTGTAGACGACATCGTAGCCGCCTTCAATTGAGGTGAGTATAGGGGGATACGAACGATTGAGGGCGACGGCCACTGGGCTGCCAGTCGCGGTCGAGCTCTTCATCGGTGAGAGTCATATTGCTGATTATAGAAGGTTGATATGATAGAAGCTGAGCGAGGTAAAGTTGAAGGTCGAGGAGTATGTATTTGGGTATCACAGTTGAAGGCGCAAAGAGATCAAGAGTTGAGAATGAAGAATGATGGAGGGAGAAATGAGACGGGAGCTCAGCTCTAAAGACGAGAGGCACTTGTAGTGAGTGGCCGTAATTAATGGAAGTTTCCAAGGGACGGGTTCTACCTTTAGAGCTAAAGCTAGCGACAGCCATTTCCTAAGGTGGGCTCTCCATTTTGCCCCACACGCGACCCGACGCCCACGCGCACAGCGCATCTGCTAGGGGGAGGGGTTCACTGCGAGATCCACTCCAGCTGTCTCTAGGGCAGAAGGTCCCCTGGAATTAGCGGCTTTTCCTGGTAGTTCAAGGGGGATTTGATGGAGGGGTGTGTGATGTCGAAAACGGGTGTGCATGAGGTTGGGAAGTTCAGGTTCTTTGAGTAGTGAACCTTTTTTCCACCTACGGATGCGGATTGAAAGAAGAGATAGTGATATAACGGTTTGGAGCAAAGAGGTGATGATCAGTTTGAAAACGGTTGAATCTAAATGATTTGGTCTGGAGGTCCAATGTGACAACGTGGTTGAAAACGTCAGGAGGAAAGTCTAAGACATTTCATAAACTCTCCATTAGACAAGATGCTGCTGTGATATCAGATATCAGCTCAAACTCGAACGATAGTTTCCATCCGACAAAATGACAAAACTGTCAGATAAATGCAATACAACCTTGTTCCTCTTCTCGTGTGTCGTCAATATCCGTGCATTGATCAAATAACCTTGAATAGTCCTTACGCCCCCGCAAACAGGCGGTGATACTACCCCCCTTGATGAGCAGATGAGGAAAAGGTTTCTGTTTGTTTAATGGCTGATGGATATAGCGTCTCCGTATCGATTTGATGGCTAATCAACAGCCGAGATGGCCTGGATGGACGAGGTAGTATCTGGTGGAACACACACGCCCCCAAATTATCATCATCAATAACAGGCTGAGACTGAAAGACAAGACAAGACAATGCATTACATGAGTACTGCTCCTGAGCCTGTAATCAACTGAGAACCCCTATTTTGAGATACTGACAACAACAAATTCGTCTCATCACAGAACATTCTTCTACTATGCCTACCTTGTTGTTCTTGCTGTAGACCTCGTTATCAAGTTTCTATTTCGCCAAATTTCCACTCATTTACCCAGCCATGGCTCGGCAGCGCCTATCATTATCAACGAACATGCCCAAGCGAAAAGGGGGCCGAGTGGGCGGATGACATCAATTTTAATTTACTTCAACTTTGAATTCCGGTTCCATTGTTTTAATTGAATGATGATACTTCTTTCTCCTTCTAGACTCTCTCCTATGATTCGAAACGAGAGCATATGCATTTGTCGCGTGCTTGATTAGTTGCCATAAATAAGACACACATTTCAAGATAGACAGGGCTATAAAACGCCATTCATTAATCGATTCAAAGGCACGCGCCATCTTGACCAGACTAGGATCGAGTGAAATTTAATGCTGGTTCCACTTCCTTTTTGTTCCTTGCTCTTTCATGCCCGATCTTGATGATTGCACTGGCCAAGACTCTCCGCTTTTGGTCGGGATGAAGTGATTCTCGTGAAGTCATCACGGCTATGATTTGGGTTAGGGTGATGAACTGAGACATATCACGGGGCACTTACACCCGACATTTGTACTGGTTAAGAAACGGTAAAGATCTCCCGTGACCTCGAGATATGTATGTGATTTGACCATGTTCTTCTGTTATATAAATCATGGGTATGAACATCGCACAAGACTAATCTTTTGGTTTAGGGTAGAAGTGACGACTATGTATGATGACCAGGCATTATGCTCCCTCATCTCATCCCCCACTACACGGCTCGAACCGAGACTCGGTCATCCCGATGTGATGCATCAAAAGACTTGATCCATGTTCATACGTCGTTTCAACGAGTAACTTTACGGTTACGGAAAAGGCTGTTCCTCTCATTACAGCGCTTCTGCCCTTCAGGTATTCACCACGACGTGCAGCCTTTGCAAGTGAACGTCATTTTACCAAAATGTAAACCGGACAAACCAGACTCACCACCATGATACGTATCTCGCGGTATTGTAACATCACAACGACCTTGAGAGATCGGCAAAAATGTCAAAAGAACAAATCACTTGCCCCGTACTGGAATCGAACCAGTGATCTTATCATTACTAGTGATACGCTTTACCACTGAGCCAACGGGGCTTGCTTGTGAGCTTGTTGGAAGACTCGGTGCAAATTGAAACCTTGAAGATGCAGGAAGGTCATTGGAATTGATGGCCATGGCATGGACCAGGCAGTCCCAACTTCAGCCATGGTGGCCATGTAAGTGAAGGTGAAGGTGAAGGTGAAGGTGAAACTGCGTGATATGTAGTAGTGACTGCATAGGTGACAGATGAGTGATTGTTCAATAGATATTGCCGTGTTGGTTATCTGCACTTCGGATATCTAAATTAAGATGAGTATATGATCTTGATGTTTATTTGTCAGTATTATCACATCGATACATCCATGTCACAACTACCGCAACGACTCAAGCGATTCCTCTACGCCTAGGACATATCAGACAGAAGATGTCAAGTTATCCCAATTAACATGATAGGCAGACACTGACCAATTCTGCTGGTAGATAATTCTCAACATTGTTCATCACTTACGAACGAGCGCGAACAGGCAATGAATCACTGTGCGCCTCAACATGAACAAACGGATGAATTGGTTATCTATACCCTGAGGTTGCTCTACTCACTCCGTTTGAAGTTGACTGTTCAGTGTTATTTGCAAACTGGCTGCCACTGTCACTGTCATGCTGCTGTTGCATACTAACGCCGTAGCAACTTTATCTTCCCTTCTGTTTACCATGTCATGCCCTCCTAACTTCGACTCTTCCCCCAGCGAAACAAATACAACTCCTGAAACATATGGAAGAATACATCCCTCCAGATTTTGACCAGGAAGACATATCATTATCCATCGACAGACAGGAGTGAGTTCTCCCAAACCCATACCCGCATCGAGAAAAGGGTACACAACCAAAACTAATCCAGGAGAAAAGACACCAGAGACATTTCGCACAATAAACCGTCCCCGAGAAAGAACTTTGGGGTCAATATCCCGCACCGTCTCCAGCAACAACAATGAACATGCCTGCTATCGAGACCGTCGAAACCCCTCGACCTGGTCGAAGTCTCCCTGACGGCTTCTCTCGAGACGCCGGAGCCGGCTTCATGCTTGGTGGCTTGGGAGGAGTCATTGGCTTCGCTATCTCGTACTGTATCGTCTGCTTCATCATCAGCATCGTCCGAGCTCGACGACAGCGCAATAGACGCCAGACAGCCATAGAATAAGCTCTCGGACCTGAGGATGGAGCATCAAGCATCAAGGGTTCGCAGTCCGATATATATTATAGTTTTGGGGAAACGGCTTGAGATGATAGGAATGGATACAACACGGTATTGTTGGATGAGAGCCAGGTTATCATTGCTGAGTCACAAGGATTCGTGAACTGGAAGACCGGGACCAGGTGTCTTTGGAAAGACAGTTTATTTTGCAGGATCTAGGATGTTGAGGTTATTACCAGGTCATCATCTCACCCACTAGCATTGTAGAGATTCCTGGAATATACTCCTATATCAAACCAAGAGCATTTTGTCAATTATATGTGCCAATATGACGGACACAATTGTCTAGTAGCTCGAGCTAAGTTCAGTAATCAGATGCTTGAGTGAGTAATGGTTTAGATTATTGAGGTTTGGCTCAACTTTGAACTAGAATAAGCATACAGAAGTAAAGACATACCTGATTACCGCAAAATCAAGAATCATTCCAATGCAAGTGTGTGTAAATGGGTTCCAGTCGGATACCTTTGTCAATTCTTTCTACCTAAAGCTCTATATATACACTCCTTCATCTGGAGGATTCAGCCTCGAAGCGCCAAATGCGCCGGGCAGTATTCAAAATTAACGAAACGCCAAACCAAACTCCAACCATTTAAGCCAAAATATCAGTATACACAAGTACCAGCTTCCAATTTTCTATCCATCTCTGGCGTGTTTATATATTCGTGTATATCTTTCGTGTATATCTTTCGTGTATATCTTTCGTGTATATCTTTCGTGTCTTCTATCTTATGAAGCATCATTGAATTTGTTCATCAGCTTTCATCGTGTAATCGTTAATGGACCACATCCATCTCGTTTCCACTCATAGCAGTCATGTTTTCATGAACTCGTCATTTAGCTGCGAATTGAAGGGGTCTTTCCGCCACCAAATGCGATCGTAGGGGCAGCGTTAGACTGGATTTCAGCTCGCTTCTCAGGGTTCTTGGTAGGATCGTTGAGATCATCACCATCGGCGCCAGGGTTGGCCATCTCGTACTCAAGAGTCTTGATGAACCAGTAGAAGCAGACAGCGATAAGAGAGCCAATGCCAGGACCGACCCAGTAGATCCAGTGCTCCGAGTCAAAGGTACCAGTGATGACACAAGGACCAAAGCTTCGGGCAGGGTTGAGCGAACCTCCTGTGAATTGGACACCAACCATCTCTGCAATGAAAAGAGCCAGGCCGATACCGACGGGAGCAATGAATGTAGCTCGGTGCTTCTCTTTGGCAAGCATGAAGATGGTGAAGACCAATTCAGCAGTAAGAAGAGCCTCAATGAACACACCCTGAACCAGAGATGCACCACCTCCCAGAGTAGTTCGAACGTTGAATGTCTCTGGAAATAGGTATCGTACCATAACAGAGGCAAGCATTGATCCAAGAATCTGAGAGAGGAACAGGCAGATAGCTCTCGTCATGCTGATAGCCTTGACCATCAACATGGCAATAGTGACTGCAGGGTTGAAGAGACCACCGCTAATACGGAAGAAGACCCAGACATTGACCATGAGCGAGAAACCGAAGATGATTGAGATGTAGAGGAGCTTGGACACGTTGAGACTTCCCGTAGACTCTCCTGTGGTGGTCTTGGTGTCGGTCTGGGCCTGAATGTTGGCAACTTCTGTGCCGGCAAAGGCAAAGAAGAGGAACATGGTGGTGCCGATAAGCTCACCAAGACTGGCAACAAAGTGGTTCTTGAAATTCGAGTTCATCCACTGAGTCAAAGGAAGACGCATGATCTCTGACTTCTCCTTAGGACTGAGGTTACTCCACTCAAGCTTGCCTGTAGAGATATTGAAGCCGTTGAGGGTAGAAGCACGTCGGTGATGTAAAGGTCGAGAAGGGTATCCCATCTCCTCATCCATCATTCTGCGGCCGCCAGTGGGAGGCATGCGAGGATCATCACTGCTGTAGAACTCTTCGTCCGAATCATGAGGGTGCGCTCGACGGCGGTTCATGAATGTGGGAGGTGGGTAAGGGCCTCTTCGAGCAGTATAGCGATCATTGCGGCCTTCATTACGCCAATATCGCTCGTAGTCACTCACAGTGGGATAGTCAGCAGCCTGGTCAAAGTCGTAGTCTTCACCACGATAGCGTCGTCGAGACGATTTCATGGAACCCCCAGAGTACTGAAGTGGCTCTCCGCCATCCTGAGAGAAGCGAGCCGTCTTGGGAGTGACAAAGTTACCGGTGCGAGAGCCAGGGCGGACTCGACTGGGATCTTGGCTGATAACAGGTTGGAGAGGGACTACTGTATCAGCCTCGGAGTTTCTGTTGCTGGCTGAAGGGTTGTCTCCATGAGTGATGACCGGAGTAAGAGCTGGGTTGGAAGGTAGGCTGTCGGCTTCAGGAGAGTTGTCTCGCATGAATGGAACCCTTTCATTAGAAGAGGCATTGGCTTCAGGAGGATTAAAGGCGGATGCGTTGATAGCAGGCGTGCTGCGAGCAGATCGACTTTGTATAGAAGATGACATGTCTGATGGAGAAGAAGAAGTGAGAGTCGTTTCAATAGTAGGCAAGGGATCAAGAGACATCGAAGAAAATCAGATGAAAACCCAGAATGAGCTCTCGTTTTTTACTTTGAGAGACAAGTAGTTAAGATGATGGAGATTATTGTAGATTGATAACTGATAGAATAGTTGACACAAGTCGATATTTATGCTAATGAGAGGCTCGTCTCGTGAGGCTGAAGTCAGGGCCGTCAAGGGTTCACCAAGTGACCCGTCACCCCGACTCGGCCCTGGTTCTTGAGGCTATCCTTGCTAATGACATCTTGAGGAAGGCTTTGATGGTGGGTAAGTTGAGCTCTAAAGAAAGCCGAGGCGTCAGCGTGCATCAGAACGAATAGAAGTTGCGCAAGTTGAGATGGGCAGCATGGAAGCCCTGAGTTACATGAGAAGAAGCAAAGAGAGGGACTCAAAAGCTTGGATCTTGTGAGAGTCAGTGAAGGGACCAGTTTCATGGGAGGACCCTGAAGATGAGCGAGCCGACGTGGCGCGTGGGAGGCCGGTAGTTAAGTGAAAACGACAATGACGTAGTGCGAACGGCTGAAGATCTCAACGATGGTGACAGCTTGGACCGTTAATCTGGATCGTTGCCAATGAGACGGGAGAGATGAGGCGTTACATTAGGCGATGAACCGGGATGATGGCTGTAGATGAGGCTGGCGATGGGGGCCCACTCGACTCAAGTTGAAGGATACACGTAGACCGTGCATGCTGAAGGCGTTTCTAGCCAACGACGAGAAGAAAATTTTAACTCCACGTAGAGGCCATGAGCTTATGTTTCATGTTGAAAGGGTGCACTAAAGAGCGAAACCCGACGATGTCCTGCATGCCTCACTCTTAGTTGGCACGGCGAGACTCGAAGCGATATCGGTATCCCCGTACGGCCTCAGATTTCAAATATGAGGACGGACCCAGGGGCCTTGCCTTAGCTTCAGGTACGGCACTGGCCGTTGAACGGTTATAACGGGCATGGTCAAGGCGTTGTAGTGGAGAGACTGGACGGGCAACCCGTGAGTTTCAATTGATTAAGGAATTGTCGTATTGTTTCAATGTAACAAGATCGAAGATCAGAGGGAAAGGCAAATGGTGTTGCGCATCCTCCCTGCTCGATGTAAGTCAGCGGCGTAGCATAGTTTTCACCAATACGACTCCGAAGAAGATAGAGGGTACTATATTCATGGGCCCACAAGGGTCAAGGCCAAAAGCTCCTTGTAATTGAGTCAAGAACTGTCAAGTGTCAGTGACATTCTGTCGGTGGCCTGTGACTTGACATGACATGCCATGACATGCGTCAGATCTCGGACCAAGATTTTCTGGAAGCTTTTTTAAGCATGAGGCCGGGGTTACAGTGGGAGAGGCTGGTTGGGTTGCAGTGACAGTTTTGGCGGGGTAGAGGAGGAGGACCCTGTAAGTTGCAACCAGGAAGTTCGGTCGGTAAGAGGCGACTTCGGCTATTACTTGAGTTTTGAGTATGAAAATAGCTCAATTGAAGAGACCGACGAGATGTATCGATTGTGTATCGGTTCTGCAAAGTGGTGCCATTGCATTGACTCTGCTTATGGCTGAAGAGATTGGAGGTGATGATGTTTGAAACAATTAAGACCAAGGCAAGATGGACAGGGAGGGATCTACAGGCAAGACAAGACCCCTAGAATAGATCCGATAGAGGCCACGTGATAGCGCGTCCCATTGTTCACTCACATCACATTTTCCAACGACAGCCACAACCGCGACCGCGCCTAATAATTGACTTTAGAGGAGCTCGGATATCAGCGAGCGTTGGCAGTGTCGGCCAGATATTAGTGATCACTGTCAGTCAAGATGGATATCACTCGTGGTTCAAGAAGAGCAAGGCATGTAGCTGCCACTCATGCAAACCCAAATCCAAACACAAACGCCAGGGCACAGGCAAACACGGCCTCGAGCCCGAGACCTGTACCATCCGATATAACCTCATCTCCAGTGCCTCAAGTTCCAGCTGCTACTCCAAGTGGTCCTTCTGCTAGATTACACCCAAGTCAAGGTGCTTCTCCTGTTGCTGCTGGTCCTATGGTAACGCCTGACGGTCCTCCAATTCACCGAACACCAGATCAACCTCCTGACCAAAGACGTCGTCGAGCGCCTCCTCCTAATCCTTTTCGTCTGTACAGAAGTAAGTCAGTTTTTTTTTTCGTTCAATTAAACGTGCATATCTAGCGTCTCTTTCTGGCAGTACCATGATCTCATATCAGTTGCAATTTTAAAGTGTTTGCAGCTCTAGTTGGCTGCCAGTGGTCAGCTGCCACTTATCGACGGCTGCATCAGTGATTCATTGCCCTCATACTTTCATGATGGGCCTCTTTTTCCATTGTTCGATGCCTCCATAGGAATTAAACTCATGTCACCATCTCTCTTTTGCTCTTATATCTTCTCTTCTTCAGCATCAACTCTGCGCTTCACACTCCTCCAACACATCGTCATCTCTCCCATCATCTCAATTACACTTTCTGCCAACAACTCTCTTCTCAACCTTCTTCTTCTTTCATCATCTTTCCTTTCTTTTGATACCTTCATCTGCTGTCCTCGGCTTGATCTTTCCTTCATCACTGCACTTGTTCTCCCTTTATCCGAACAACCCATCTCATCCCTGAACATGCCTTCTCGTCGCGAAATCTACATCCCTCCCCCTCCCCCTTCCACTCATCAAATCAACCGCGATCATCGCATCAAGCGAGTTCCACTTCAAGAACTTGCCTTCAAGAAGTCTAGCGGTGCTCTTCTCCAGCAGCGCAAGCGAGTTTTCCGAACTGTTCCTTCTCCAGACAAGGAGAACGAAGAAGCCTGCTACCGAGCTGTTGATCATCTCAGCGTCACCTTTGACGAGTGGTATCAAGAGCGCATGCAACTTCTTCACGAAGCACGAGAATTGCGATCAAATATTAACAACATTCTCCTAGCCGCGCAGCAGCCTACAGACCGATCTCGTCTCAGCATGCCTCCCCGTGATTCCGACGCCTCCAGCTCCGACGCTGAGCCTGATGAGAGTATTCTCTTCAACCGCGCTCGCCCTATGGCTGCTCCCGCTGGCCCTTCTTCTGGTGCCCCAATGGCTTACAGCGGCGACCAAACTGCTGAGGACGATGCTGATCAGCGTACTCTTGATCCATCCCCTGAAGAGTATGAGGACGAGAACTCAATCGACGAAGAAGAAGAAGATGTCGACGAAGACGAAGATGACGAAGAAGCCGCTGAGCACGACCAAGCTCTTGAAGCCGCTACTCTTTTTGACCCCGCCACCGCTGGCCTGAAGGAAATTTCCAACCTTGCCCGCTTCACTGTCAGCAGCCACAAGTCTGGCAATGGTGTTGAGGAGCTCAAGAGCGATGACCTCAAGCTTTTCTGGCAGTGAGTTCATCCGCTAACACTCAAACACATTTCGCCCGACTAACACATCTCAGGTCTGATGGCCCTCAGCCCCATAAGCTCACCATGTACTTCACCAAGCGTGTTGGTATTCGCGACATCCGCTTCTACGTTGACTACAACGAGGATGAGTCCTACACCCCTACTAAGGTCGTCTTCAAGGCCGGCACTAGCGAGAATAACCTCATCGAGTTCGCTACCATGGCTCTTGAGAACCCCTCCGGCTGGCAGCAGGTTCCCATCACCGGCGCTGGCGGTGGTCCTGACGGCAACACCCTCGTCGCTTGGGTTGTTCAGATGCAGATCCTCGAGAACCACCAGAACGGCAAGGATACCCATCTTCGCGGTATCAAGATCTACTCTTTCGACAATGACTCCGCCCTCGGCCCCGGCCGCGATGGTAACCCTATCGAAGACGTCCTTGACCTCATGGACACTATTACTAGTCACACTAACATCACTTCTACTCGTTCGCGCCTCAACAACTTTGGAACTCCCAGCTTTGAGCCCGGTGAGGGAGGTTTCGCTATCCCTGAATTCATGCGGGAGCCCGAGATTCGCTAAAGAATCTCGATCACTACGAACGGTACTTATCTTGCGATCAGTCATATTATGGACTCGGTAGCTATACAGCGGGTAATCTTTTTTTGACTCGGTATTTGCGACGGACTTGGAGGGCTTGGGCCACTTGCACAAAAGAAAACATTCGGCGGAGTTTGGAGTAGAAGACAGTTGTTTGTTATCACGATCTGCGCCCAACGATGGCGGCACTGGTATGATGGATTTGCTGGCATTACGAATTGCGAATGAGCAAATGGCTAAAGTAGACGAATGAGAGATGATAGATACCAGGATTTGCATTGACTTCGATTCTTTAAAACATTTCCTTTCCTTTTGCACAGTGAACAGTGATGTAAAGATAATGATGATGAATTGCGACTAACAGTCCCTCCTTTATATTTCATGTTATCCACGATACCGTCCATGTTTCTCCCCTTTACATCCTCCATTAGCCACTGAAGTATTACTGGAACACCCGCTATTTCTAGTGTCGAGGCCATCTTGGTGGTAACTTGTACAAATACGCCGGACCCCTTCCAAATCTCTATCACTCATCTGCCATGTAGTGGCCCTCGTGTTCCTTTTCTCTCTTACATAATGCGGGCTGGCAAGTCTTCCATATCGTCCATCACGCTGTCTGAATCGTCGGCGGCAGCAGATACCTCAGGGGCGACAGCGGATCGGAACTTGCTAGGCGTCTTTCGCTTGCGTGTCTGAGCCTCGTCGATCTCAGAGTTATCCTCTGCGGGAGCACCGGCCTGAACCTCTCCATCATCCTCAATTGGGTCCTGAGAAGGGGCTGCACGTCTAGCAGATCGACGGCTAGGTGTGCCTCTAGCCGGAGTAGATCTAGCTGCTGACTTTCGAGGGGGCTTAGGTGCCTTCGCCTTGCCCATACCTGTTCTCTTTGCGACGCGGGTAGCCTTGGGGGGAGCAGGCTCATCAAACACAGGTGTATTAACGGGCTTAGCGACAGGCGCGGGCTCTTCCTTCATCGGCGCATCAATGGGCTCTTCGGGCTCTGCAGGCTCTGCAGAAAGAGCTGGGTCAACCATTTCAGCATCCTCCATGGGTGCCAGGTCTGCAACCGCAGCAACGGGATCCATTGATGCCATTGGGGCTGGGTCAAAGTCTTCCATTGGTGCGATAGGTAAATCAGGATTGATGTTCTCGTCAGGAACGCCGTATTCACCCTGCTGTTGTTCAGTTTCCTCCTCGTCGGCCTCGTTAACAAACTCGGCACTCATGTGGTTCTGTCCATTGGCGGATGCGTTGTTATGAGAAGCATGGGCGGTTGGGATACTATTCAAGAACTCCATCTCCTCAGCGTCGTCGAAAAGAGCATCCTCAACATTAGGAAGCTCGCCAGTCTGGGCGTATAAATTAAGGAGGTATTGTGCAGAGTCTCGTACAGTCTTGTGTTCTGACTCGGGGACACTTTGCTTCAGGCGTCGCCAAAGAAGTATCTGCGTTGGTCGATGCCAGCTGTTACGGAACTGCTTGTCAACCAGTCTCTGCCACGGAATCTTGGATTCAACTGATGCGGATGAACCTGATATAGCCATGATCATGCGATAACGTTCTTCCTCAGGCATCGCAGCAATTTGACGACGGGCCTTCTCGAGACGGAAAGAAATAGATGCATCGGGCGCATGTGACACCAACTTATCCTTGCCATGAGTCTTGATGTTCATGGCCCGCCACTTGGTGATACACTGAAGCCGACTGCGAGTTCTTCCCATACGCTCACTGATGTTTTGCCAATCGATGAGTTCCTCGTATGGCTTCTTGAGCAGTTCGCGGGTAGGTTGGATGATTCGCAACTCGTCAATGGCGGCCATGGCCTCCATCACGTACTGTGTCAGGTTACCCTCTTCCTCCTCGTCCCAGGTATCTTTCCGCTGGGAATCTCCGCAGATAATGTAGTTTCGATAACGATCTCGGAGATCTTCTGGGTGACGGTTGATGATACCCGCAATCTTGGACCACTTTGTTCCGTTGGCCTCAATAAGGTCACGAAGCTCGGCATCTTGCTCGTTGGTCCAAGTACCACGAGCAACGAAGTTGTGGAATTTCTTTCGGGTGATGTTGATGATTTTCTGTCTGTGTCGGTCCGGGCATGTTGCGAAGATGCGTGCCCAAAGAGCGGCATGCTCATCGCCAGCGGTTGTACCTCCAGGAGCATGGATCATAGCATTCAGTTCATGCTGCACCATGTTGCGCTCGACACGGTAACTCTCAACTGCTTGTGCGATACGACCAAGTTCCTCGTCGCTGAATCGTCCCTGAGTGAAACCAGCCATTCGGTTACGTCGTCCACTTGCTGGATTGCCATATTCGTCATCGTCATCTCCGACTGGCATGTTTTGAGACGAGAGTGCACGATTGGCCTCAGACTTTCTACGATTTGAGGCCTTCTTGGTACGCTTTCGTGGCACTGGTGTCACGGCAGAAGGTGATGGAAGGTCACCCTCAGGAACCTCGGGGGAAGGCGATTTCTCAAAGAAAGTAGGCTTGGCCTTCTTAGCCTTACCCGATCGTGTTCGCTTGGCGTTGGTGCTTGGAGGGTTTGAGGCCTGAACTGGGCTTCCGGGAACATCGTACACATCATTGCTTGTATGAGGACGCTGTGCAGATGTTGGAATTTCCACCTCCTCATGATGCACAGATGAGTCTTGTGTGTTGGGTTGGTTTTGGCCGTTGATGTGTGCGTTCCACACGTCCCTGGCCACTTGTTCAAGCTCCTGGTGTTCTGTGTTCTCTTGCCCATTGATTGCAGAAAAGCCAGACACTTCATTCCCTTCCTCCTGGTTCTGCTTCACTGGTGCATCAATGTCCATCTCGTCATGAGCGGCACTGCCTTCTCTTGATCGAGCATCACGCACTTCGAGGCGTGCAGCACTGGGAGATTGGGGTGCATCCTCTGCAACGTCATCATAAATGGCAGCTGGGCGAGCTGCATCCCTGGTGCGAAGGAAAGAGGCAGCTTGAGATTCTTTAGTGCCTGCTTCCTCAATTTGGCCATCCTGTGTTCCTGGTTCCACCTGCTCTGATTCGATGTCGGCTGCCTCGTCACGGGATCTGCGCTTCTTGCGTTGCTTGTCATCAGTAGAATCTGAGGGATTGCGCTTGCGCTTCGTTTGAGTAGCGGGCGCAGCGGCCTCATCATCATAGTCAGCAGCCGAGTTCTCCAGAGGCTGAGATGGGAATATGGTTGATGTGTTGTTTTCGACTAGGCTATCGGGAATTTCGACTGGTAACGTTGACTTTTTCTTGGACTTTTTGGGCTTGCGCGAGGATCCTTCGACAGCTAGCAGTTGTGGAGATTCACTCTCATTTATGCTCTTCCGTTTGCGCTCCTTCTTGTCGCGCTTGTGCTTTCGGGATTGAGAGGATGGTATATCTTCCGACATGGGCGCCTCAGGTGCCTGTTCTTCCTGGGACGCGTTGTCGAGTTGCGAGGTGTAGGGAGCTTGTGTTGCGTTGCTGTCGAACATTTCGAGCGCGCCAAAGTCTTGGTCCTGAACGTCGTCTTCTGGACCAGCCTGAGCATCGCCATCGTAGTTATCGAAACTGCTCATCTCTTCAATTGGCCGGCTTTCGGTGCCGACTTCGTCTTGGGTCAACTCCAGTGACTGCATTAGCTCTTCTGGAAGCTCTTCTTTGGATTCGTTCTTGAGCTGCTGCTCGTTCTTGTGGCCGTCGTTCCCGTCGCGGTTGTCGTCGTTTTGCTTATCTGGCCTGTTGGACTGGGAGCCGGGCATAAGAGACCATAGGGTTGACGCGAGGCGGAAGTCAGGCCACTTGCTACTACCGTTGCCGTTGGATGACATCGGTGAACTGCTTCGCGACGATAGCTTCTTTCTCGTCGACAGGACGCGAGCTGAAGATGTAGGGTAAGGGGAAATTGGAAGAAGGTGTGGGGCGTCACGAAAAAAAACTGACGGCGTGGTTAACCTAGAGATGGTGGCTCCTTCGCGTTGTCGTGACAGTGATCACGTGAACCCCACAATCATACCCCTTTCATATGATCACCAATCTCTGTACTCAAAGTCGAGAAGTCAGTCAGGACGTTACGCTAAACTCGAAGCATTGAGAGCCAAATTTATGCTGGTTTTATTTATTAGACTAATCTAAAGAAATAGTACAGGTCTGTACAGAGTTATTTCGACATGTGCCAAGGAAATCTATGTAAGTCAGTTAGTTATTGTACAGGTCACTTCACCAAAAAATATCCATTCCACCTGCGCCTGTCCTTCAACCTCATTCCGATCATACCTCATTCAGGCATATATGACCAGAGAAATCCCAAACAGGGCGTCATTATTCTAATTGGTTTCCATGGAAGCAATCCAAAAGCGTACGCAATTGCCTCAGTCATCCTCCTTCTCAGCTTCCTTCAGCTTCACTGTGATACCCTTGCGGTTTTGCTCGATCTCGTACTGTCCACCAAGAACCAGGTCCTTGGCAACAAGCTCACGAGTTCGGCCCAAACTCTCGATGTCAGCAATTCTCTGTATCGTGCCTTCCAGGTGCTTTTCGAAGTCAGGCTCAGAACAAATTTCTCTGAAAGCCCGATGCATTGGAACACTGCTTGCTCGAACGTCTGCCTCACTGGTGATGCTGAAGAGATTCAAACGATCGAGATCTCGGATAAAGTCGCAGCGTGTCATGATTTGCTGAGCGATGTGGAAAGGGTAGGTTGGAAGCACATGTCCAACAATAGGGTCGTAGGTCTCATGTTCTTCCATGTCCTTTTCCTTGTCAACCAATGCCTTAGCCAAACACATAGCAGCAGCCTATGATTCGGTCAGTAAATTGTCTCGATACGAAATGCAACGTGGTATTTCTTCAAACTTACAGCCCACTTCTGTTGATCCATGACATCGTCGTCCATCTCTGGACCAAGGATCCAACACTGGTTAAGGAACCACTTCTTTTCGATTTCCTTGATCCTTTCGCAAGTTCCCATCATATCCCTGCTCTTTGCTACTCGGTTGAGAAAGCTCAGCCGTCCTCCGACTCTTTCATAGACATCTTCGAGAACTGCAGCGTCAATGCTTTCTTTCCAGTACTTTTGACGATATCGTTGGAGAGCTGATATAGCTTGTTGCTTAGGCAAATCAGTGACAGGAAGAACCTCCATTCTGGTAGCAAGCTGTTTGAGGCGCTCGTACACCCAGTAGTCGTCTGAGTTGAAAACCATGGTGACAATGTTGGCAGCAGCCCACTGTTCAGCCCGTTGCTGTAGTAGTTCAATGACATCTCGACCATCATCATCATGGCGGAGGAGGTGCATCTGGTTGACAATCACCACTAAAGGCTTGCCCCTTTCTCTTCGCTTCTGCATGGCCACTTTCTCCAATTTGTTGAGAGCACGTTCAATGTCCAGCAGAGCTGTGGTCTCGCGGGGACCCCTCTCACTGAAGTACCCTCCAATGTAATCCTCGTGAAACTCATAATCGAGGGCCTTACCAAGACGAATGCGGAAGATTTCCAGGTCTGCGTGCGCCTCAAACATGGCAACACCATCACCGTCATTCTTTCGCATAGCATCGATAAGCATACTGCTCTTTCCAGATCCCTTGTCACCGATCAAAAGATGATAATGCCCAGCAACGCGTCCCATGACAATGTCATCAACACGTTGTTGCTCTGGGCGGTATATCCAATGTTCGCCAGAACCACCAGGCTGATGAGGAACATCTTTACCAATTGCAGCCAAATCCAGGACAGGATCGCCTGGCTCAAAAGCATGGTTCATCTTTTGGAGGACAAGCATCTTGTAAAATTTGTGATAAATGTAGCCCGCAGCAGCAAAGCCCAGACCTAACACCAATATAGATGCGAAGGTTGTAGCCGCAGCCTCCCCCATCTTGGCTAGAAGTGAGGGCTCCGAAGAGGACTTGGGATCTTTCTGAGTCTCTGCCTCCGCATTGAACTCAGGAGCTTCCTCTGCTTTATAAAGTTAGCAATGGTTCGATTTTATTCCGATTTCTGGGCTTCCAGTGACATATTGACTTGACATGTAGCGATTCCCGCTTTCCAGCCTCATCTCCACTTGTAGATCAGAAACAATTGGGACTTTTATTCAGAGCCAAGTCTCGATAAGATGCTGACTGAAAATGCCGTTTCTGGAAACAGAAATGCAAATGCCGGAACCCCTGGGTTACCCAAGTTTTGCCATGAGAGGTCGCCTCTTGATGGGATCGTGTGGTAAAAGATAAGAATTAAATATCAATACCTTTTCTATTGCGAGCTTGAGATGAGAATCGAAGCTTGCTGACAATATCACTATTTGTGCATCTCGGCCCCAGATACCGATTCTGCGGTCCAACTGGTCGTACCAAGTTCAAGGAGCTGACGGGTTGGTTGAGGCGACGCACCAGGCGCCCTGAATGCCTCAGAATCATAATTACTGATTTGCAGTGCAATAGAGAAAGATAACAGCAGTTCCACGAGTCAATTGACGTGCCGGTCGAGGCTATCAAGAGTCACACCAACGCCAGCAGAACAAAGGAGAGAAGAAAAAGAAGGGAGTAGGAAGGCCAGTGGCTTCGTGGCACCAAAGAAACAGTCCAATTCAAGTTTGGTCAAGGGTCAGAAAACAAAGTTAGCTCAGGTTCCTGGTTGTGCTGCGTCAGTGACAGTTAGCTGCGCTGAAACTGGCTGCCATTGGCCTTGGCAAAAAGACTTGACCAGATCCTCGGCGACAGCTGCAGAAGCTCCCCCTGCAATTCCACTGAAAGTGCCCGCTATGCTTCGCGCTAGTGCAAAGACCACTGTAATTTTAGCGGGGAATGCAGGAGGCCTCGTCAATTGAGTTGAGACTCAGCAGGACAGGGGTTTTGAGATGCATGTCACTGAATGGATGGATATTTTCCCCTCTGAAATGGCCTCATGAGGTACGGGCTAACGGCAGTATCAACAACTTCAACTTCAGTACCGAATATCCTCAATGATTCGAATCGCTATCAAGCAATGGCAGTCAAATGTACTATACTAGGCCCACGTGATTAGTCTACAATGTGTGTTTTCAACAGCTGGCCTAATTCATGGAAGGAAGGTGCGAACAGTGACGCGACCACAAACGCTTCTCCAGACCACATTCATCATGAACAAACGAATAAACAACAAGACGCACCACTCGTGCAAACGGCCCTTTCAACAACCAACCTGAATACCACAGCTACAGTGGATCAGTCGCTGCCTGCACAATTTTCCCTTCACTTCCTTTCCACCTTTATTCACTGCCAAGATCAATATTCGGCGGCCTTTCACTCTCAAAAATATCTTCTTCATTCACCGATCTACTCCCTACACTGCTTTAATCCTATTTATCTCTGACTGATGCATTATGTGCAACCGCGTTGTATAAGCTTTCTCCTTCAAACTCTGACCAACATATTTCGGCAGCATATCACGAAGCGATGCCGCCCTATGCAGCTGAACTCGAAACCTGGTGGTTAGGGACTGGCTATGAAGCCCTTAAACAATTAGTCGACGATGAATCCGATGACCTTAATTCTCGGCAGTGCGGCTTTGCGCAGCAGATGAAAACGAGGCTTTTGGCATTCGACAACGACCAAACTATTCAAGCCTCTCTTCAAACAACCTGGCCTGCCATCCGTGCAGCAAGAGGAGTCGACTATGACGCGAATAGTCGCAGAAACTCCAAGTACATAGCTTCCAATATCTTTCGGAAGCCCAAGGATGGAGGTATCAACTTTGAACGCGCCATGGATGGCCTTGGCTACCTCGATGCAATCGAAGTTCGTCGCCTTCGCCTCCTTGAAGCTACCCGTACTGCCATGGAGACCATCTCACCGACAGAAAGCCAACGACAAATGCTCCAAGAGCTTGATAGGACTTCTTCCGCAAATTTTCGGCTTCTACACGCCGGTTTCAGGGCCTGTGTAAGACGCACACTGCCCCCCAAATGCGCCTTGGTAAACTGACAACCTCCCAGATCCTTATCGAGGAATTGACGAGAGATTCCGAGTGCAGGAAGGAGATTCCTCAAATTATGGGAATACTCAATGCGCTCGTGCCTTCAGACGTGTTTCTTGAAGACGAAGATGATGTCGACCCAACTCCACACTCACCGAGTCTTCGTGACAGTGTTCGGTTCTCTGTTTTTGAGCACCTGATGTCCGAGAGCCCCTTCTCCCCTCAGCGGCAAGAAATCGTTAAAATGAAGCTCTATGGCTGGTGTGATGTCCCTGGATATCCTCGAGCCAGAGATGCTATGGTGCGATACTCTGAAGAGTTCAAGAAGCTGGAAGGTGTATGTTTGGCGATCATGAACGGCCTTGAACGAAAAGCTTTCAGCGACAGATCGTATCATGTAATATCTCCAAACTCTTCCACATTGTTTGATACAGACACTTCACGTAGCTCTGGCTTTTCAGCAAATGTAACCCAGGGCGCGAGCACTATTTTCAGACCTGCCACTCCAAACAACCACCAGGACTCTGCGCCAACGACACCCATAAGTCCTTGGGTTCCATTAACTTCACATCCTCTACTAAAAGGAATGCCTGGAAGAGAGATGAGCCCAGCTAAAACAGACGGCGCTCTTTTTGCTCAAGATCTCAGCGCACCACCCGTCCTGTCCTATCCTGACAATCTCTCCAAAACAGAGTTCTTCCAACACCCATTCGCCCGAAAGCTCGACATGTCGCCAGTCGAACAAGCAGCTTTGGGCCTTATCTTACCTCGAGAAATTGACAGTCGGGATTTCTAGTACGATCCCGACAGCGACGATGAGGGCAACGACATGCCACCAGTGCCCCCCTTACCACATATTCCCGAGAGGCTGAAAGCACATCTCACACCCAGAGTTTTGGACAAGATCAAAAAGAGGATGCGCTATCAGTCTGATAGATCCGAAAGGACAGACCTGAGTGGTGTGCCCTTTCAGGCACTGGACCAGCACATGGGCACTTCCACTACACGCAAGTCAAGTGATAGAAAGCGCTGGCCGTCGCTCAAAGCAAACATCTCGGAGCCAATATCTATTGTAGGCCCATTTCCGGGGAGCTTGAGCTTCGAAGACAACGGCTGTGGGACCCCTAATCAATCTTCGAGCCCAATACAGAGCCCCAAATCACCCCAGAGACAGATCACTGTGGGGGCAAGCACCCTGCAGCCTTTTCACAGAAGGGGGAGCAGTATTAAACTAAGTTGCCAACTTATGAAACCACGCCTATCGCCTATGGAGTACTGTCGAATGTACCTGATCGAGAAGTGCTTATCTGGCTGCGAGAATCGACTATGTGAACTCCCACCCCCCGACAAACTGTGGTTCTGGACAAACTACTACAAGCAATTCATGGTTATACCACAAATGCCTAAAGTTATCCGGCGCGATTTGGAACCCATGGCTTTTGGAGTCAATGTAGAGAGCACTGCTACAGATGCAGATGCAGCTGACTCTGATGGGGAATCAGTATCAACTATAAGACCAGAAATTTACTCCAATGGGCCCATGCGTCTATCACTTCACTTTGGCGGCGAGCCGATCATTCTACCCACATTCATGGATACCTTACGTTTCAATTTGAGCGATGCTCAGGTTAAGGATGCCTCAGAATTGGACAAAGAAGCGGGGCGTGGTCATGTAGACGGTGATCCTGGGGACAAGGACTTGGTTTTGCCACGCCGAGGTATGTTATCTGTTTCTCTCCCCATACTATGTTATAATAGCTACTGACGAAACCAGTGCCGGCTGGAGGAGAGGTCGAAGATTGGCGGCCAATGAGCGAATATGAACCAGTCGAGGACGATGAGATATCAAGCGCGATCACACCACTCGAGACTTCTGGGGACAATAATGTGACCGAGGACTTGGATAAGACCACAAGGAGCACAGGTAATGCGTCTCGCTTTGCATCCATCGACGAAGCAGGTATATGCAAAAATCCACAAACGTCGAATAGCCCTCCCTCTTCTCTTAAGAGTGTCAGGAAGAAAGATGTGACAGAGAACTCGGATCAATCTAATGGACAAGCCAACGACGACTCTAATAGCTTCGGGCTTTCGAGACAGTTATCACGCATATGCAAAGAGGAGTTGTCTGTTTTTGATTTTGCCACCCCAAGGCCTAGAGGCAAGACTGTTGGCTGTACTCCCCAGCCGCTGGCAACAGCGGACACACGCAGCCCCCTTGCTCGTTTCCCTATCGCAGTTCAACCGACTCATCGGTTAACTCCAGGAACGCTTACAAAGCGTGTTGTTGGTGATTCTGGCGGTAAACTACTTTTCGAAGATACCCAACAAGTTAGATTAATTCCAAGTCCTAGCGATAAGCATCACCCAGGGCTTTCCGCTGACTTGTGGGAGGCCGACGCAGAATCAATCACGTCCGAACTTCGGCCAAGTCCTTTGCACATCAACCGACGGAAACATAGGGCCAACACTGACGAATCCGATCGTCGATGGCCAAGATTGTTTGATAGGGGGGATGCTGACCCGCCTACCACACTTGAGATGCTTAGTATCAGCGCCCCAACTAAGCGAGACGACTTCTTGGATCTCGAAGTCGTCGAGGATAACTATGGTACTCCAACAGAAGGAGATCGTACGCCTCGTGGGTTAGGACATCAGGGACAGGGCCTCCTGCAGGCAACTCCTGCGCCAAGAGGCCTTCAACGTTCGGCTTCCACAATTATTACCCCGACACAGTCTGTAAAAAGGCTTGAGCACAAGGCATCTTTCAACTTGGAAGCCACAGGACAATCGGGCTTTACCCCGGAGCATCGTAGGGAAAGTATTCCCAGAGGGACATTCCCCAGATCTGGCATGATGCTCAACCTCCAGAGTACTCAGGAACGTCTTGGATGCCCTCTTTATGAGTCTGATGGAATGCAATTGAGTAAAAGCATAAACGATACAACCCCAAAAGCAAGGCGCTTGCCCGATTTGCCGGACCCCGGGCCGCATGAGCCCAGTTTTGCCCCCAAAGAATGGATGAGGTTTATCACAGCTACACCCCGAAAGTCCAGAACTATGAAACGAAACGATGGACGAACTGAGGACCATAGGGAGGCTTCTTCTGCGGTGGATTGGCGAAAAGCCTTGTTTCAGCCAAGTGCCACCATGGATGAGGGAGATGTTGAGCGTTCAACATCGGCCACTACGCGAGACTTCTCGCAGTCTCACAAGCTCCAGAAGCAGCCATCGCGAGCGAGACTCACTCCCAGTAGCACTTACCGTTCATCGAACCAGCGGCTCGATCACTCAACTCGAGCCTTGTCCCCAATACCTCCAAGAAGTGAGGCAGACGTTTCTGATCGCAGAACCCCATCACCCACCGCATCACAAACCACTGTCGTTCCACAAACACCATCCTCCAGTATCAGCGGTATCTTCCGCAAACGTATACGTTCGGACTATAATCCCCCAGCCACGCCCCGAACACCGGCTGAGCCCACCTTGGCGTGGTCACCGTTTGCTAACTGCGAACCTGAACCGCCTTGCGCGTCACCGTGGGTCTCGGGCAACGGTGAAGGGAAAAGGGAGAAAGAGGAACGAGCGGCGTACTTCCGGAACAAGGTCGAGCGTGAGTTTCAGAGCAGACAATCGCCAAAGAGATTTAGTCGCAAGAACTCCCTCGAATCTGCGTCTAATGGGGACTCTACGGGTCAAAACAACGTGGCTGCCGATAATAGAGTGAGTAAGGAGAGTCTTATACAATGGAAGCAGTTCCTCGAAGATGCCCCGGAACCACTATTCTCGTCGCCTTTGCCACCCGTACCGCCTCTTCCTTCTGAGTCTCAGCTAAACTTCGCACTCGATCGACTTCCCCAGACGCAAACCCCTTCTCGGGCAACCTCGAGGGTTGAAGCGACCCCAGCCGCTACATATCGCGAAAAGAAACCCCAGGGACTAACAGTAGAGACACGTAAGCTACGTAAAGCAATGCGTGAGGGGGCACAGACCCCAAGCAGAAACAAATCGATGACGCCCGCCAGTGGAAGCAGCTTCAGGTCTGCGTTTCGTTTGGACGGAAGACGAATGAGCTTTGGACGACCAGCGGCCGACCATGAGTCCCAGGGTAAAGGGCGAGAAACCGAAACTTTTCCAAGACGCAAGTGAATTGGTAAATCTATGTTGGAGGCTCACAATGCCTACATATCTACACTGTTTGCTATTATGTATGTTGGGCTCATGGCTGAGACGGGGAGGCATCTGTCAAGATACATCACTGATTCGACTAGATTTGTATGTAGCTAGGATTCACGGGACCTTGCACAAAGCTCCACCAAGGGACAAGACAAGTGTATAGTCTCTAGCATCTGATCTCATTGTGTTTGCCAAATAGAAGGATTCGGTCCTATTCTACCAGCCAGCCAGCCCTGATAAGGTAAGAATAGAGGCAATTCTAGTTCTTGCTGACGTCGAGATACAATCTCATTATTGAATCTAATCCTAAAAGAATTTAGATTTCAATAGATCTAGTCTAATAATGAGATATTAGATTATACTATGTTATATTGTTATTACTTTGGATCAGCAATTGTCCTAGTGAACGCCATAGCTTCAGCTCTAGACTCTTGTTCCCAGTCAACCTTAATATGAGACACTTTGTGACTTTGAGACGGACAGATGTAACAATGGACCATTCAGAAGGGGACTTTTGTGTAGGTAGTCAAGGTTTGCCGAGATGCATGAGACAGGCGGGTTCCTCGCTTTGCCGCAGAGAATGCTGCAACATAGAGGGTCTGTGATATCATGAGTTTAAACCACCACGACGCTGATGAGCACATTTCTGCGTATTTCATTACTCTCCTGCATTATCAAAGTTCTCGAGTCGTACCCTGCATGAATCACATTTGGTGCTGCAGAATAACAAACGCACGCTAGAGGCCTCATCCATGTTGACCAACAGCCTCTAAGACCCCAGGATCGAAAAGGCAAGGACAAGTAGAGTTGAGGACACGCACGCTTGTGCAGCCACACCAGGGGACGATGTTCGCTTCATCACGGCATAACAGACATGGGAAGGGAGGCTTTTGGAGCATGCCCAATCAGTCTGTTGATCCAGGCTACGGGTTACCGTATCTTGACCGTTAGCTGGATGATCGTCCCGTGACGACGCACGAGACCGCGATAGTCCGCGATAGTATGGATAACAGGGACTTGAATCGACTGGCACGTAGCGAATCACCTGCCGACCGCAACTGTCAACCTGAGATGCTGCTTGAGATCGAGCCAGTCAATTGGCTCGGGTCGACAATTTTTGTTATTCACGAGATTGTATGTGCTGTGCTGGTGACCAAGTGCCGAGCGAGTCAAGAAGCCGAACTCCGGGAGGCACAGTAAGCATGCCAAGTCTTTGATATGTCTGAATGAGAGTCATTGAATCGTGACGGAGTCGATCTTGGTCAATATCTGTATTATCAAACGTAAATAATCAGACCAGAAAGCTTTGTGATGATGTAGTTGAGTGGGATAGCGCTGCGCTGCCGATGGTAGGGTAGGATTTTCCCATTGCAGTCCACGTTGCTCATCTTGATTATGGTGTTGTCTTGTGATGAAGGCTAGAAGCCATCCACACAGAGGAGAGGGTTGACACACCGCTCCCCACGATCCCCCACTTGACTGGCATCCGCCCATCACCTCACCCACAGTCCACAGCCCGTGAGTGAGTCTGGGGTACGGATATTGCATGTATTGGTATGGAAAGACCACCAGGATAGAATACACTCGTATCTGCGTAGTAACAAAGGCCTAGGCCTCGGTTTTCGGCTAACCCCCGAGGTACCACGTTTTTGGCTATCCCTTTGACTTTCTTTTGGATAGCCAATGTCGTATTGTTAGTTAGTGCTTTTGACTCATGGGGTAACGACAGTATGCTCAGAAAAGAGAGCCCATACTTAAACAAGAATGGTAGTTGAAACAAACAGCCCCATTCAATGAAAGCTGTACTATATTGTACTGTAATTAAACTGCGTCGAGCCGGTTTCTGAAGCCACGCTTCGAGAAAACGTCTAAACAACCTGACGCATCATAGCCTTGTGGACTTCTGGTGGAATTGGACTATTTGCTCCGATCGCAATCAGTAGGGCTGGACGAAAGGAAACGCCGTCCACCTCCACGACTCCACGTCCGCTAACGCAACGCTCAGCCAGACTTAGACATGTGCTTTCCAATATGAGGCAGACACATTCCAGGATCTCGCCTCCTGAATACTAGTCATGGAGTATCATGGCCCTCTCCACACAAAAACCTTGCGAATACCAGACCAGGCCAGGGATGCAAATGGTGGTTGGCGCATTGAAAATCGTAGTCCGTGCATGCCCTGATCTTGTCTGCTGCGTTAATCCCGAACAACGTTTTACCCTGTTCGTTTCTGTCGGTCTGGAGTATTCAGCCTGACCCCGACTTTTACTTGCTTGAAATGCAGATAGAGTCAGAAAGCTGGCCGACTTACACCATCCATGCCTGCCTGAAGAAACAACCGGTGACACCCAAGGCTGAGAAACAGGCAACGGCTATTATCCGTCGTATCATGAATCGTCAAATCTTCCTCACGTGGCTAGCACCGTCCACTGATGCCATGCCCAGAGTTGCTCTTCAACGCCTCGATCCCCACAACCACATTCTTCGCACCCTGTCCTTGGTCTAGTAATGGCCCAGTTCACCGCATATCTGGGCTTCGATTCGTGAAGATCTGTGCCGGCCCGATAACGGGAGATCTGCTAACGACTAGGTAACCTGAACCTCCTTCTAGGGGATTTCTATTCGCACGGGCACAGCATAGGGCAGTCTCCATGTTGGCTTAATTCCGTGACAAAAAGCGTGCCAAGTGGCACAGACCACTTGGTCCGGTCCGGTGGACTTCAAGCGCCAAACGAAATGTGTAAGTTGATGATGGCTGCGCTTTTGGTGGAGCAACTTAGAGGACGAGCATGATCTTGCGCTCAGGCAGACCCGCCTCCAGCTCCAGATGTTCTAGCCGACTTGACCCGCGCGCTTGCTGACCAGCTGAGCTCTTTGGTCCTGGAAATAAAACTCCCCCAGTCCAGCTCAGGTAGTGGTCTGTTAGTGAGTCCAACAGGGTTGAAAGTGAACTGGTGTTTGGGGAATTCAGGTGGTCAATGTGGGATCGCCAGGGTCCTCTCACGATAGGTTCGCCTAGGTACGGCAGGTACTGCAAGACAGTACAGTACAGTACAGTAGTACGAGCAGTACATGGACCACACTAAGCTGGACGCGATACAACTTCATGTATGTCAAAGCTGCAGGCACTCATGCTTCTCCATGACAAAAACATATCTCCGGCCTGGTCGCAATTGTCAGCAAAGATGCCCGAGACTCTTCGACGAAAGTGATATTCTGTCCGCCGGATCTAGCTTACAGAGGACATCAGGCTGCAAAGTCGGGAAGTCATTGGTCACCTGTAACGAGCCAAGTATAAGTCCTTTATTTTAGAACCAACAACTGGTGTCGGCGATGACGTCTGTAATCTTCCAGATGCGCATGTTTTCGTGACTGCAAACGATATGGTTGGTTCCATTCATCTGCCCAACCTTCAGTCTAGGGAAAAGACGGGACTCCATCAACGGACCGCGCCTGGGCCGGCGCACCGTCGAACTCAATTGTCGGGCAATATTGAATGGCAACTGGTTCACGTACCAGGAGCAGGGGCGGCGTGAGATGCAGCTGAGAAGCGGAATGCTCGGTTCGAAGCGATAGACTATTCATAGATGCTACCGAACGCTGAACTGGAGTTGACCTCCTGAACTTCAATTACGTGTCCAATTAGAGATAAATCCTTTATGATATAAAACAGCTCGAAGTACCTCGAAGTACCGTTGTGTATCAGCAACCCACTCAAGACTTTCATGGGACTTTTTAGCTTCAGACCAGCTAAACCTAAAGAGGAATGACGATGACATCCTTGGCCTCAGGGTCGTTGGATATAGCCGTCTATCAGCTAATTGCCAACATCAGTATCTGATCCTAAAAGAACATCAGCTTGATTAATGCGGAGACCGAAGGCGAGCACCTATGTGTAATGCTTAACCACCTCCTATAGTTAGTACACGGTATTAGCTTGGTAGAATTAGTTGAGATATGTTGCGCAAAGATTAAATTTAGCAATGAAACCGTTGTGGCTTCGAAGTCTTGCCAAATGATAGATGAGCAAGCCCGAGCTGACTAGGGGTTACTACTTTGGGAAAGCCGAAGGATGCTGACTACCTATTCATACCTGAGATACTCTTCAAAGAGCAGACCAGTTTATATGCGTTGCATAAGAGAGAGATTCCGGATTTCGAGTGGTAAAGACCAAATTCAAAACATTCGGTCGAGTTCATACTTCTGATGTGCAAGCAACTTCGATAGCCAAAGGCCAAGGAGCTGTGCGCAATAAAAAATAAAATAAAATAAAAAGCGTGGCATGTCGATTTTTGTGTAAAATAATGACAGCCATAATACCTAACCACAACACCACGTCTAAAGTTTCAGTATGGACACACTGGGCGAGGATGTACATACATGTGAACTAAGGTTCATGAACTCCATGTCAACATCAGAACCAGGGGTCGCACCTTTGGCTGTATTCCCCGCAATGTGAGCAGGAAAGCAAACATCAACGATGAACATTGTGTTATGAGTGGTAGATGCCTTGATAGAGTTCAAATTTCCTGGCTCTTATTGCCTGCCAGTCGATAATCATGGACACTACATCCTATTCGGGGTTAAATCTTGTGAGTGACGTGGGGGTAGACCGGCGGGCCGGCATCTTAGCGAAGTCGTCAAAGCCTCGAGTCTTTCAAGCCCAGGGTTCTGAAATCGCTTTCAAAGGTTGAATATCGTGATCAGCCAACGAATGGGCCGTCCGTGGTAGCCGAATTAGGACAACTCGTCAAAATGGCAGACAAATTTAGTCGTAATGATCGACCAACCTAGACAGGCATTGTTTCATAGAGAAAGTATGCCTTGATCACCTGAGGGTCCGTGAGGAGGCGGTTGGCTGCGGAGGATGCGAGCTGGTCTTACCCCTACCCGTTCGGCTACAGGGCACGTACCATGATGGAGAGTCAATTGATTGGGAAAGAAACAAGAGAGGGTTGAGTCGATATTGAAGCCAGAGCTTCTGCGTAGCTGGGAGGCCACTCGTGAACTCATGTCTAGGGCCAGGCCATGGCCTGCTCCATCCAGAAATTGAAATAGTCAGGTAATCAACGCAACTTCTCTTGTCTAGAGTTTCAGAGCTCCAACAGTTGTGGACTGATCCTGGGCCGTCGATTTCCAGTCCCCAGAAGCAATGCACATATGCGCTAGCAATACATTGCAGTAGTGCGATGCAGATGAAAGAGGACACAAGGTAATGGCGACATGGGAATACCATGTCAGTCAGCTTGCTCTTGATGGAAAAGGGGTGATTGAGGTTCATCAGGTGCGGACATATCATTCAGAGTAGTGCCTCCGCCAGGCAGAAAAGGACAGTAGTAGTTGATGCTAGTGATAAACGAACGAGTTAGGAGTGGCCGCTATGGATGTTTCTGCATATATTCTGCAGGAGAGAGAAGGATGATGCAGCGCATAGCGGGCTGACGGTCTAGATCTCACCAGCCAACATGGGGCTTTCTGTTGGAAAAGCCATCAAAGAGAGACAAGCATAATGCTGGTTGATGTCTCGAAAAAGAAGGGAATTTGATAAGAACGCAGATTTTGGTTGAAGAAGCTTTAATGTGAGTGAAAAGGACACCTAAGGCAAGGTAAGGTAAGGAAGGTACTAAGGAAAACCATTCAGAGTCGGATGTCAGTTGGGCTGGAAGGACAGAGTAGCGTACCTGCCTAGGCCGTACCTACTCGATCAGATTGTGCACCTTCTGTCATCGGCCTTCAAGGTGGAGGAAGGCGCTTTCTCAGATGGGCAGTAAAAATTGATCTGCATCGTGACTGACCTCTTTGAGGAAAGAAATTTGAGACAGATGCCGATATAGTGCAGAAGCACCTTTCCTATTCAATTCATCCGCTGTCAACACCATCGTCTTTATCCAACCGACTCGCATTTTCCGTCACCACAACTTCTTGTTGAAAATCCTACAGTACAGTACCTTAGCTGCTAACGGAATTTTCTTCACTTGGTGCCCAAAGCCGATCATGGTGCGCAGCCGAACAGTGTTGCAACTCCAATTGGGGCCTCAACACAGCCTGGCTGAGCTGATTCAAGCGAACTATTTCCAGTACCATGATCATTACGCAAAGCCGCATCGGTTGGTTGCGCGATAACGTCTGAAAAATCCTAGCAACGAATACCACCTAACAAGAATTTACAAACACAGGGGACTTGAAGTGATATCATGCTACAGCAGCGTTGCAACGTCGCTCGTTGCAGACTTGGATGTTCTTTACTCCAAAGTTGGTTGATACTTTGTCGTGTGACTTTCAGAAACAGATCAACGTTGTCGGACCATACCTAGATGCTACTCCACTTGTCGCATACAATACGGGCATAGACACGACTCGTTACCATTGATTGGCCTTTGAGGTGGAGGAAAGATATCAAGCTGATCAAGATGCCTGCTTGATCGAGGCGCTTCCTCTTAATTCTAAGCACGGCGCGTTCTATCTCTGCCGTGATCTTGCTCTCGTATCCTAGACATTTGCTAACATTTATAGTACGACATTGTATGCACCATCTCAACCAAACCTGAGTCCTCAGCAGTCCAGGCAGGAAATGTCCCACTTAGGCTGGGCTGCTTTGCCTGGTTTGCGTACCCTGAAGTATCTCTGGCAGGGCCCTGAGGACGCTAAATCTATGGAGGGTGGATATCTAAATACACCATGTCCATGTCCCCCATCAAGGCTTTGGTGGAGACATGCGCCAAGGCTTAGAGTATCCTCCACGTCTCATTCATCATGGTCGTCCTAAACTACTGAACTAGCCGACCTAGCCCCCAGCAGCTGGCCCTGGCATGACAGGGTCTGTAGGAGACCATCGATGGCATCGTCGAGCGGCCTGAAAGATCCCTGGCGGGACCGAACGGCACATGGGTGTTGAAGGTTATGTACCAAGTGTACCAAGGCCCCTGTGGGCTCTCTCACCTTGACCATGAGGCCAACCTCATCGCTAGGCTGTGATAACTGTGGGGAGATGGAGTCGACAGACTGCAGAAGGGTTCCAGTGCTGAATCTCAGAACTCCCCCATACCTTGACTTCCAAAATACACCTCTCCACCCACATACTGTAGCCCCTCCATTCTCCTCACCTTTCCCTCCCTTTCATCTTGCGATTTTCGAACCGTCGCCTGTTCTGGGCGACTAAGGAGCTTCGATCAACCGTTGGTGTGTTGGCGTCGATAGCTAGTCCAGTCTAACGTCCACCGCCACCACCCTCTAGTCTCCACAGCTTCATGCCGAGTCGTCACGTCCAGCTTCCATAGACTGTGCTGTGTCTATACATACCGTACCATATTCGATCGGGGCTACCTACTTATCTATCTAAGCCTTTACCGCCGGCTCTGGGACAGTCGACACAAAACATCTTTCTCCCAACTCTTGTTCGGGACATGTTCACCCTCTTAGATGGCTATCGAACGTTCATTTGCATTTTCGCAGTCTGAACGAAACCTGGCTTGGTACAACAGCCATAGCATATCCTCCGAAGGCCGAAACAACATGATGCCACCATCACCTTTACCAATGGACTCTTTGTGGATGTCTTCAGCAGCAGCAGCAACTCAACTACAGCCCGGCCAGATTTCACCGTTGAGCGCAGGATTGGACAATTCTTCTACCCCAACGATGGTTCACTCAGCTTCCTCTTCCTGCGCCGATTCCTGGAGTACGGATTATGTCGACCGAGACGATGTTGAGATGGACAACAATTGGGAGCAAGGCTCGGACGATATTCTTACAATCCCGAAGCTGGAGCCGGTTGAAGATGATCTTAACATGGACGATCTTAAAGCCGCTCCGCTTGCGCCAGCCTCAATGGACTCCGCTAAGATAGATCCGAAACCAAAACGACCGCGAGGAAGGCCAAGGAAGCACCCATTGACCACGGCAGTTAGTGCAAGTAAAGTGACCAAGGGTCGATCAAAGACTGGTTGTATTACCTGCCGAAAGCGCAAGAAGAAATGTGATGAAGCGGTAAGTGATTTCATGTTGAAGGCGTTAGACCTGTCACGGAACAAGGGGGGAATATCATGTCAACTGGTATTTTCCCCGCCGTGTCTAGTGCTCTGTATTTCTTGAGCTGTGAACAGAAAGCTAATACAAAGTAGAAACCTCGATGTACGACTTGACTCATTCCCTTGAGATATGCAAGATTCTAATCATTGTTTCTAGGCATGAATTGCGAGAAGAACGCTGTGGTATGCGAGGGCTACCACGAAAAACAGATATGGAAGAGCGGTAAAGAAAAGGCCGAAGAGGGTACGTTCCTTTGATGCAATACGACACAGCCTTCTAATTATCGTACCAGAGCGTATACGCCAGGAGGCCCTTCCAATTATTACTATGCAACCAATCTTCCATGGTGTCGAGACAGTCGAGGACAAAGTCTTTTGGAAACATTATATTACCCACCTGAGCAATATCTTGACAGTTGAAGGCGAGGCCAAAAATGCTTTCAAAGACATTATCCTTCACCTCGCCAATGAACACCAAGGCCTCATGCACTCCATTCTGGCGGTCAGCAGCAAGCACATCGACTGGGATACACCCTACGGTGCCAAGTTATTGGCCGACCATCCTCAGTCCAACCGGGAGGCGTTGCAACAACGAGCCGACTATCATCACGATGAGTCGATGAAACGGCTGTACGAGGATATGGGACGACCATTGGACAAAGACGACCCCGAGTACAAGACCATTCTCTCTGCGAGATACGGGCAAATGCTTTGCTTGCTTCTTCAGACGAGGGCCGATGGAAACCCTCGAGGTGAACATCGAGTGCACCTCCAAGCTTACCAGACTCTGATTCAACACTCACCTCCTGAGGATCCGGCTTTATATACTTTCATTACTGAATTCTTCCAGTACCACATCTTTGCCGATGACTTATTCTGGCATCCTGAGAATATGACAGCCAGACTGTCGTCTGAAGATTGGGAGCCTGTAGCACCGATACAACCTCCCCGATTGATAGGTGTTGGGGACGGGCTCTTCCAGTATCTATCTCAGATCACGACTATTCGAAACACGATCCGAGCCAACATTTCTGCCGGAGTTGACCCAGTGGTAGACTACACCAGCTTGTACCAGGCTGCTGAGATTGATGCGGCCATTCGCGAGTGGACACCAAACTGGCCATGGGGTGACAGCCGTGACCGAGTCGGACTGCTCTACAAGCAGATGATGTGGGTATATCTTTTCCGGACCATCTACCCGCCTTCAGTCTCCTCGATGCGCCGTTCGACGTTCAGCACCTTGCCAATCTCGGCCTCAACAACTGTTGCCCCCCCGCCACCACCACCCAGACGAGCTTCGATGATGGCCACAGTGCCAAGGGGCAGCGGTGTAAGCGGGGTTACAGATGTCCACATGGCGAGTAGCTGTCCAACATCACGTAATCCTTCGAGGACAAATTCCATGCATGAGCAGGACTCACCAACATGCCAAGAGAGGGCATCCTCACCACCACCGACCAGAAGACCAGCATACCATGATCGACGAATCACCCTCGCTGTGGAAGAGTCTCTCACCATTTTGGAGTCATTCAAGCCTTCTGACCCCTCCCAGACCCTTCTACTCATTCCTTGCCTAGTTATCGGCACTGCGTGCTTTGAGCAAGCCCAGCAGGAGCGTATACGCACTGCAGTCAGAGCTGTTCGCGGATATACAGGCCTACGGAACTGCGAGCGTGTCATGGAACTCCTGGAAAAGGTTTGGGCTTGCATGGAACAGGGTGACTGGGTCTCTGTATGGGACTGGCAAGGCGTTGCTCGCCGAATGCGTCTTGATTTCTCCTGCGCATGAACTTATCCAACAGCATGCCAATAATCAATCTTTATATTCGAATCTACCTCACCATATATACCACAGCACTGGGAGTTTTCCAGATCGTTACAACAGGGTGCGGCTTTTCATTTATGCATATAATATTTACAGAACCATTTATGACAGTATACTAGTCTGTTGTTGCTTTTCTTCATGAAGCTCCGAAGTCTCCGAGAAGTCATAAAAACCTGAAATGGCAGGTTGCGCATATATCTGAGACGGGAGCTGGAAAAAGATGAGGTCTGAGGTGTTTCAGCACCCAAGCCTGGATCGCCGTCTTATCAATTCATCACCGAGGCATTACGACGCAAGGAATCACATGGGTTCGGTATTATTCACAATTTGGTTTCCTTCTCTCCCCAAGTATGTCTTCGTATAGGCCCATGCTTGTTTCAGTGAACACTTTGGATGGCATTTGTCTAAGAGGAGTATTGCGATTAGCCCGCTGCAAGACTGGGTTCACCTATTTGATGGGACGGGCGTTTATCTCTGGGCCAGATGCGCTTACAGAACGAACGATGAAGTTGAGGCAGAGAAGTGATGAAGGCTATGGATGGCGCCATCTTTTCCGCTATTTTGGTTTCACGATATCTGCCAAATGAAGTATACGGGGCATTGACACACAATTTGAGGCGAATAGATAGCGGCGTCATATTTAGAGACCAGATATAACAGGCATGCTGATATTACAGCATGCTTTGGCTTTGACCTCAATAACATGAAGCAACGTGCCAGGATCGAGATTGACCTCGGCACGTTGGAAGACCATTCAACGTCCAATTGCATCCTGATTGCATCGTGATATATTCGCAAAGGAAATAAAATACTCTGTACATAGGTACTAAAGCCAATGGCTGAAAAAGACATGTTTGTACAGCACAAACGGCCTTTACTGCAAATTGCCCTAAGATCATCTCAAGATGGAAGGCCCTGACGAAATGCCAACATTTAAACATAAACTGGCAAAACAGCGATGCGCGCGCATATAATCTAAACAACATGGGAACTCCTTCTGAGGATGAGCACAACATGAGAAATATCACTATATCTCTCAGGTTCGCAGTGCCTAGCAGCGTCCTTCATTCCAATTCTGGAACCATCCCAGCCATTGCAGATGAAGGCTCAGATGTGATTCCTCTTTTAATATCATCTCCTCTCTAATCATCACGCTTCTCGCCCTCAAAGTAGAACTTGCCCAGCGGCTCATCACCCCGGCCAGGTCCAACAAGGCCTGAAGCAGGTGCCCTCGTCTCGCCTCTGTCCAACCTCTGGACAATCCGCTCTGCTGCCTCCTGAGCAGCAGCAGTCTGTGTTTGAGGTTGTGACGCAGAGACAGGTCCTCGGAATGTTGTGTCGACGAAAGAGTCATTCTCTGGTGCTTGACCTGGGTTCGGATCAGTTGCAACACCGTCCATCATGCGAGCATCCCGGCGTTCCTGCAGGGCAGACACACTCACGGGCGTATCACCTCCCATATGAGTGTCACGTTCCCGTCGAGCGTCGCTCAAGCCCGAGTTGGTTCTTTCAAGACCCCAAGCTTGGGGAGCCGTTCGACGATGATAAATGGGCCCAGATACGGTACTACCCGCACCCTCACCAAACCCAACGAGAGAGGCAGAGCCGTCATCGCTCATGCGATCGTCATAACCAGCCACAGAACGAGCATTGGCACCATCGAGGTCCTCATCCATAGCATCGGGATAGCCACCCATGCTTGCGACTGACTCGGCTTCGCGGTAGTTGGTATCGGTGCTGAGCATGTCTTCATCATGTTCGCCAGCAGTTGTGCGCGTATCATCGCCATCACCAACATGACTCTCAGTTGCGCTGGCCGTTCCAACGGTACTCATCTTAGTCACGGCGACAGGCTGGCCATTGCTATCGAAATATGCAGGTGTCAGGTGCTGTGTAGCAGGGTAGTTGGGCGGAAACCCAGTTGTAGAGGTTGGCGTGGTCTGAGGCGAGGGGGATGATGCTCCTTGGGCGTTGGCTTGAGGAGGTGCCCGGAGGGTTGAGACCCGCTCGAGACCAGCGAGTCGGGAAATTCGGTCGGCGCGTTCAGCCTCGAGGCTCTGGGTGGAGGGATTATGTTGGTGTCCGCGACTGAGAGGGCCCTGGGGGAAGTGGCCACGATGACCGTCTTTGATCGCAGTGGTAGATAGGGCGGAAAGCGAGGTAGTGGTGCTCGTAGGGGTGCCGCTGAGACGGACAAGGACGTCAGTGAATAAGTTTCAGGGAAAGCCAAGACATCACATTGAATGATAGGCAATTCTAGGAGCAAGGAAGAACACACGGCATCTCAGAGGGGGTCTCTGGTCTGGAGGTGGGAGGTGGGAGGTTGATGAAGGTTGGGGGTTGCGTCTGCGCCATGATGACGGTAGGTCGATTCGGGTAGTGAGGGGATGTCTGATGAAAAACAATGGGTATTGTCTTTGTTCAAGAGCTTCAAGTCGGGATGGTCGCAGAAGTTGACGTAAAGGCGATGATACGAGGCGACGTCAGGTATTGAGGGTTTCGCCGTCAACGGCGGCTCAGGAAGTTGGGCGCCTATTGATGTCAGGCGGAGAATATGCTGAGAACAATCGCGTGACACTATCGTCGGCGATGATATAGTTCTCCTCAAATATCGGCGATTCTTGTAAGAAAGAGAAAAGACGTGGGAAATTGAGAGTGGGAAAAAGTGTATTATCGCAAGCTCAGCTTCGTTCTGTTGGTTGGCAAAGAGGAATGCAAGACATCCAATGCATTGCGACTTCCCACCTCCAGTTAGCACAGATTTAGGCACGGTGCACCGTGAACCTGCTGAAAACCCCCTACAGAACAGGCACAACAGGTGCTGGAACCGTGCGATTGGAGAGTTGTACTCGGAGGAATGAGGGGGAGGGGTCAAGTGATTGGGCGGACCAAGGGTGGGTTATGACGTCGATTGTAGATGCCGTGATTGGTCAGGGAGCATCGGTATCTTCGAATCGGGAATTGTAAGGTGCCAATTCTTTGGCTCCAGGACCCTCGATGATACCTAAAATCAATGGATACGCTAAAAAGAAAGATGTTCGTGTCTCATAGCTCTACTCATGAGGATGTTCGCCCTGCAATCACGTTTATGCAGATAGGTCATGGCTATTGCATCAGACCAAGCCCCAGCTAACGGTCGGCTCTAAGACGAACAAGGGACGGGTACGGATCCCTAGCTGAGGTTTCATTCTGGCCAACAGAAGATCAAAAAGTCCAAGAATTGTTCTTTTTATATTGACCCAATTACTTATATCAACAATATTACTCCAATGCAATGCTCTTCCAGATCCAAGTGCGGATCCAGATAGTTTTCCCCATAAACTTCTTCATTTTCGCAATCTCCCATCTTTTTTCCGAAACAAATGAGGCTTATCTGAGCGCCACAAACATACGCGTCCATCTACCAAATTTAAAGGCCAGAAAAAAAACCATCAATCCCCATTGCTATTGACATTCCGTGTAGCGCCACATTCATGTGAAATAAAATGAACAAAACCGTTCAACCGAAAACGCTTGCCGAGAAGAACCATCGCAGAAGCTGAAACGTGCAATGGTCTCTAAGGATGGCAGGTATTCCTATAGGAGGGCCATTCCGAGGGATGTGATGCCGAGCACCAACGATAGAACAAGAACGCCAGGAGTCATAGGCGAAGGAGAACCAGCGTTGATATCAGGGACCGTGGTCTTGGGAGCAGGAGGGTCCCAGGTAATCGTAGGTCCATCAGCCGTGGTTTGAGAAGCAGCGGACTTCTCCTTGGTAGCAGACTTGGTGTCGGACTTGTCGGTCTTTGAGTCCTTCTTATCATCCTTGCCCGTGGCAGTTGCAGAAGCCTCCTCTGTCGCGTCTGCTGTTTTGGAGTCGTCGGCAGTCGTCTCGGAGGCCTTGTCGTTGGTAGCCTTGGCCTTTTCGACGGCAGTGGTAGACTCCTCGTCCTTGGCGGCGATGACACCGGTGAGGAGGATAGCGATGGGGAGGACGTGCTTGGAGAAACGCATGATGTCGAAGTATTAAGAGTTGTATGGTTCGAAGTGTTGAAGATGGCTCTGGTTGAGTCGATCAGTGGAGGAATAGGGGATATGCCCAGACAACGATCGAATATAGTGGACGTGATATAGATTCCAACTGTCAGAGAAGACAAGCGAGAGACTTTAGACTGAGTTGGTCAGTAACGAAAGTAGAGTGCACCCAAGAAAGAATTAGATGAAGGTAAGGATGCAGAAAGAGTAGCAGAAGCAAGTGGAAATGGAAATGGAAATGGAGACATGGAAGAAAACAGGGGAACATGGGAAGAGTCGGTAGCCTCTGTTAAGCCTCCGTTTTTCGACGCTAAAGCATGACTTGGGCACCTAAATTTGGAAACAAGGGTCCGCTAGTGCCAACGGATGTCCACTGTGATCCTGGGGTACATTGCATTATTCCACTGAGGAATGGATGTCTTAGGGATGAATGTCTCAGAGGATCGATCAATCATCAGTGGCGAGACTGTTGGTGTTTGGCTGTTTTGTTTATTTACTCTTGTCCGGTAACGTTACCGGAGTCTGATGACATGTGCTGCTCAGTCTGCTACGAGATATCAACAACATGGTGTTGGCTGATCATACAGGAGGTTGGGCAAATACACCAGCAAGTACTTACACGCGGGACAGTACACTTCAAAGTTATTCAATACAATGATGCTGGATGATCATAAGCTACAATCCAGTGTAATATTCTTGAGTGTCTTTAACTGTTGACGATATTTCAGGCGACATTCTTCAGCACAGCCCAGACCTCGTATTCAGTATGCACGCACTGGCCCCATTATTACACGACACCACCACTTCACTTGATGGCAACCATTCAACAGCTCACGTACGCAGCCCCAGCAGCAACACTTGACCTGCTAGACAGGGCTCCTTTTACCAGAATACTCTGTGTACAGCTGAAAGTGGTAAAGAATAACACAACAACATGTGGTTCGACAATACACGATAAACATCAGATACAACTGACCAATGAGTTGCTCTTTGAACCATGTGAAACTCCCCAGCAACGATGAGCTGCAGCTCATCAAGCCACTAATAACAGATATTAGCGCCATTTAGTTCTGGTACTTCCCCCTGGTGTTACCTGAGGCTCTGCTCTGAATACCCTCAATTCTCTCTACCTAAAGTAGGTATGTCATGTTCAAACCCTCATTTCTGTATATTATCCTCAATATCCAACGATCGTTTTCATTATATATTTCCCTTTTTTGCAGTATCCTCCAACATCTCCATTTCATTTCAATTCATTTCTCACATCCAAATATTCATCATCCTCTTATCAGACCCTCTAAATGGTATATCTATATCGTGGACTCTCATCTCCAAGCTCGGCCAACTCATCCTCTCCCATTCCTCGAAACTTGTCGTCCATAAGACCTGCCTGTCGTCTTTCATTCTCTCGTCGATACCACCACCACATAAATCCATAAACGACGGTGCCGAGAGCAACCATGCTGAGCGTCACGGCATGGCCACGGATATATCGAGGCTTATCTGAAGCAGGACTGGCGAAAGTCAGCAGAATTCGTGGTGCCACTTGAGTCGAAACTTACTAGATAAACGCAGACATGATGCCTGCCGCATTACCCCATGTCAACTGCATTCCTGTACCAGTAGTACGCTTTCCATAACGCGGCGAGTTTGTGGGCAGCTAAACAACTCAGTCAGCTCACTATCATTACCGATAGGTTCGTATCAACTTACCCAGGCCAGTGGCAAGCCCACAACAACGTACAAACCTCCAGCTACCAGGAAGCAACCAAAGTAGTGGACACCGGAAGACACATCAGCCAGCAGGACTGCATATCCAATAACGCTGATAACTCCAAAGATTACGCAGAAAAGTCCACGTTGTTGAAGCTTATCTGAGAGGAAAGCAGTCGACATGTACGCCGCTGCACCAAGGAAGTAGCAAGGTACGGTGAGGAGTTGTGTCTCAGCCACGGTCCAGTCACCGAGATCCCTAATGATGGTCGGGAGGAAGGTAGAGAATCCTGTGGTTTCGTTAGAAGAGCCATGGGAGCCGTGAGATAGATCGATGCTCACCATATAACATAGTATCGACGCCAAACTGCGCAACGCAGAACGCCCAAACTTTCCAATCCTTAAAGGCGCACATCATGTCCTTTTTGCTGAATTCACGACTAGACGCCGTGTTTCCGTACTCACGGGCGTGTCTCAAACGCATGAGGGCTCTTTCATTCTCGTCGAGGAAGTATGCCGTCTCAGCATCATTGGGCAAGGCGAAATAAGTGACCACGCCGAGCAAGAAACTGGGAATTCCTTCAATGATCATGATCCATCGCCAGCCGCTCATACCGTGGAGGCCATCCATATGTCCAATGCCATATGCCAACAGACCGCCGAGAGCACCAGCGACAGCAGCGCTGACGAACAGATAACCCACACGAAGGGCAAGTTCTCTCTTGGTATAGAAGAAGGTGAGATACACCGTCAAGCCAGGGAATAGGCCAGCTTCGACGGCACCAAGAAGCAGACGACAAGCAATCAGAGCACCATATGAGTTGACGAGGCCCGTGAGTGTGGCAATAATTCCCCATGCAGCAGCAATGAATGCGATCCATCGACGAGGTGTGAAGAGCTTGAGGACGAGGTTGGAGGGGACCTCGAAGAGCAAGTATGTGACGAAGAGGATAGACACGGCAACCTGAAACTGGCTCGACGAGAGGTTCAGATCTTCTTCGAGTCCGTAAAGTCGGGCATTACCAATGTTGACTCTATTCGTTTCGAATTAGTCATAGGGACTTGGTGAGTGAGCTGTGTAATTTACCTGTCCAGGAAACTGAAGAGGTAGAGTACCATGACAAGAGGAATGATGTAGAAGTCCAGCTTCGCAACAAGTCTCTTCTCGTCAGCTGCTGAGTTGGGGTCGCACTCATCACTGAGACTGTGACGCCTGGGCGTACTATCTTGGCCGTCTTTCGAAGCCATACTAATTATCTCTGGAGGGGTTATGAGTAACAACCTTCAATGAGGATTTTCAAGAAGAACTTACAATCTCAGCCAAATCCTCCCACTCTGTTCGAATCCCTGCTCAATACAACCAAGCAAAGGAAGCAGATATCCTCCGATGATAGCGAGAATGGGGGAAAATACCTCCCACTCACGACAATCTTTTAAATATTGGGCTATTCTTGGCGCATGAGAAGTTATAAAGTGGAGGATAAAGCAAAAGGTAGAAAGACAGAGAGACAAGAAATAGAAAAGAAAGCAGGCCAGAAGAATATAGTACGACACTATTCAGAATTTTTTTCGTAATAGCTCCGCTTTCAGATCAGGTCATCCGAAACTTCTCCGGTTGTACAAGAGTGAATTAAGCCGAGTAGTCGCTTCTTAATTCCCTCGTGATGTAGTAAGTAATATGTTGAAATAGGTAGGATGTGACTTTGGTTGTTTCGATAATTAATAGGAAGAGTGGGTTCGTCCTTTTTTTGTTCTGGAACTTAGTTGTGGCGACTTTGGTCAATATGAGGTCGTGATGGTCAGAAGAAAAAGTTTAAGATATAGTCAAGTCAAGGATGATGATACCTTTAAAATTAAACCTAATAATCAAATTCCTTTTAGATCCTCGTTGCTTGGTTGAAGCATCATGTCTTGCACATGTCTTTTCCTAGATGCACGGCATTAAGTGGCGTCACCGATAACGGACATTATCTGCTGACTGAGTCGATCTATCGAACGGATAAATCCATTAGAGTTGAGTTTCTTGAAGCTTAATTAATCAGCGGGGATAAACTGACACGTCAAAAGGGGTAATATAATGGTAACACCAACGAGCTTTAACGTTGAACCTCTAACAAATAAACGTCAAAGTCAAAGTCTACCTCACCTCAACCTACTGACAAGAGTGAGTGGTTGAGTTCGAGATATGCACAATAAGAGATAGGCTTTTCACAATGAAAATTCAGATACTGTCAGATTTTAATTCTTTTTATTGCATCCACGTATCTAATCCACCTCGACACCTCAAATCATCCAAAACTGTGTTGAACCCAAAATGGTAGCAATGGAAGATATACAAGTCATGCAATGGGAGATAGCATCTCCCGCTCTTGTTCGCTTTACCGATGTGATCTCGTCATACGCAAGGAAAAAAAAGTAAGGGTTTACAATATGTACAGTATCTGACATTAATTATTTCCCCTCCCTCTAGCTACAAGGGGGAGTCTCATCGAATCTTGAAGTTTTCCTCATCCATCCATTCCATTACCAGTGACCACTGGACTGGTCAACCGGTAACTTCATCGTTTACCTGTAGGGTTGCGCAGGCATCTCGTACACGTTCTCAGGGGGTGCTGTTCCACGAGCGCTTGAAACCTGGTTGCCATCGATCTCAGCAGCATCGTTTTGATGCCACTTGGTAGCAGCGCTGTCACTAGCCAGCTCAGCTGTGTTGGCAGGGCTATACATCTCAGCAGCGTTGTGGTTGGGAGAGCCGCCCACAGGGTGTGCGTAGTTGTTCTCAGGAGTCGTAGCTGAGTAGGCTTGGTCGCTGCCGGCGGTGCGAGAGTAGTTGGTCTCGGGGCTAACGGGCATGTAGCTACGTCCGAACTGCTGGGGCTTGGCAAAACCGGCACGTCCATCACCAAGAGCAGTACCACGGTAGCCCTCAGACTTGGTAGTGTTACGGCTGGGAGCCAGAGTAGAGGCGGCGGCGGTTGTCTGGGACATGTGGGGGCTGGTACCGACAGCAGCAGCAGCGCCGCCGCCACCACCGCCACGGCCACCGACAGGAACCTCGGAGGCGCCAAAGACATCGTCGTACTCAGCCTTGTTCTTAGCGTTGCGGCGCTTGCGAAGACAGAACCAGAGAAGACCAGCAAGGATGGCAAGGCCAGCAACACCGACACCAGCACCAATTCCAGCCTTGGCACCTGTGGAGAGACCTCCGTCGTTACTGTTGCTGCTGCTGTTGTTGTTATCAGAGCTGGCACCACCAGTACCAGAAGGACCATACTCTCCAGAAGGAGCAACAGTCGCTGTGCGGACAACACCAGTGGTCACTCTAGTAGAGGTGACAACAAGGGTGCTGGTGACAGTGACGGTGGTACTAGCACCTGCCTGCTCGGTCTCGGTGATGGTCTTGGTAACCTTGGTCTGGCTGCTGACAGTGGATATAACGGTTCGAGAAATAGTGTTGAAGACAGTGGTATCGGAGTCGTCGCCGCCCTCAGTAACAGTGACGGTAGTGGTGGTCGTGGCACGCTTGTGAAGACCTCGTCTGAAGGCTCGGAGACCGTAATGTTCACCTTCGATTTGAGCGTTGAAGTGAGGAGGAGCACTGGTAGTAGTCGTATAGGTGGGCAAAGCAGGGGCAACAAGTTCAACTCCGCCAATGGTTCGGGGAGCCAAGTCAAGAGCGCGCTTCTCGTTGGCCCACTTGGTTGAGGTAACGTAGGTCGTAGTCGTTGCGGTCTCAGCGTCGCTGCTAGTAACAGTCTTGGTATCGAACGCAGTCGACGTAACGACGACAGTGGATGTAATGGTCTTCATGACAGTAGTCTGACGGCTCACAGTCTTGGCGTCGGAGTCAGTGACAGTCACTGTCTTGGTGATAGTGACATCCTCGGCTGTGGTTGAGCCTCCATCGGAAGATCCATCAGTAGTAGACTCAGCAGCGGTACTAGAATCGTCGGTAGGTTGGGCGGCGGTGGTAGGTTCTGCTGCAGTAGTGGCAGCAGAGTCGTCGCTCGTGGGATCGGCTTCAGCAGTACTCGCGGGAGAGGAATCGGTTGAGGGAGCGGCAGCAGAGTCGGAGTTGGTATTTTGACGAGCAACGAGTTGAGTGGCCTCGGCTCCGAGGAGCATACCCAGAAGCAAAAATCGTCGAAGCTGCATCTTGAACGGTCGACGTTGTCGTCAGTTCAACCAAGCCGTCGATATGAGGTGATGAGTGACGGCGGGTGAGGAGACAAAGGAGTACCCGGGAGGGTTCGGGACAAGGAAAGACAAATCCAATGAGGAAAAGCAGCGACCGTCTCAGATACAAAGAGGTCTCTGGTGTCTCTGATAGGGGAGAGGGCGCAAGCGGTCGTCAAGTCGAGCAAAATGTCGCTGATTGTCTCGGCTTGTGCGATGTGGATAAGGAGTACGAAAGGCACGCGCGGCAGCAAACAGCGAATGCGCGCAAAGCAAATGACAAAAAAAGGAAAAAGAATTGAGGAAGAAGAAAAAAGGGGAGATAGTAACGAGTGTTAGAAGACAGTAGGAGCAGGAACAAGCAGTATTCTAGTGAATAACTACTCGTATTGTTTTAGTTGGTGAGACGAGAAGGAAAACGAAGGATGAAAGAAGAGGCGTAGCAGTGCGTGCCAGTTGCCAGTGCAAATACAGTGAGTGAATGACCAAAACGAGAGACGGGGGACCCAGGCTCGTGATGAAGGGAAACGGGAATGAATGGCGCGGGAAGAGCGGATTTGCGCGACGCCGGCCACACTAAAAATTTGCTTGCTGCAGCGAGCGACTGCGTGTACGGGGAACGGGCTCTAAAATGTAGAGGGTACTTGTGGCGAAGTACCGATTCCTTGCACTTTTGACAGCGAACTCAATGCAGTGATGACTGTTGATTGGGGGGGACACAATTCCAGTTGACGAATGGCAATGTTTGGATTGTTACAGTGAAACGGTCAACGGTTTGCCGATGATAAGCAATTGTTCAAATGCTCCAACACTTGACATCCAGACGAGAGAGTTGAGATGGACAGTGAGAAAGTCATTCTGCAGCCTCATTTACAGGTCTAATACCATGCGGGATTGACCTCGCAATTTGTACAGCAGACAAAATGGGCACTAAAGCCCCTGGCCAGATACTCCTTACGGTCTAGCTCGTCTGTCATGGCGCTGCACCCCAACTCTTTTGAGATTGTTAGTGTTCTATTTACGAGGTATACACGATGCGCAAGTAGCGTGGACCTGTCGTCAATGCTTCCTTCTCCTGCTGATCATTAAAGAGCGAGGCAAAAACGTGACAGATGCCCAGAAATGAGAATCACCTGTAGTTTCGAGTCACTGAGCACCAAGACTGACGATGAGGGTTGATAGAGGGAATTTCTCACGATTGAGACTTTTATTTGGTTGATGCAGAACTATCGACAGCAACCATCCAACAGGGAAGTGGCGCGAGAAGCTAAGAAAGAGGCGTTGAACCGTTTATGCTTGGTGTTGCTGAGTGTGCATAGGGAGCATTGATTGGATCAGTATCAATGCTACCTCGGCTTCTCAACAACATGGAGAAGTAATTGTCAAACGGGTAGCACAGATTGAATATGCTATAATTCCAATTTCATGGTACTCGATCGCCCTGACACTTTGAATGACATCAATCTCCCAAGTGGTCATGAGTAAAAAGTCCCAGTTCGTATTTGACAGGCTAACGAGGTTCCAGTGGACTTCTGATTGAAGTGACCTGTGCTAGCGGCGGGGCGGGGCCATGTCCGAGGCGGGCCTCCACTGAAGAAATGACGGGTCCAATGAACGAGGCTCAGCGACTCGAGAACCTCAGGGTCTGACCTCAAAATGGAACCTTCTGCCATCCAATTTGTTTCGATTTCCGTTGGGTCAACAGTAGAATTGGATGTTACTGTCACTGAGCCTGAGTCTGAGCTGAGATAGAATTGACAAGGGCATCGCCTAGCGAGGCCTCATGATTAACTTCCCGTGCCGATATTGACACGACACGGTCACTGTTAATTAGACTTCAGCATCAGATCTTCAGGGTCTTGTCACCTAAACTCTCACTCAATTGGATGGTTGCATCGGCCTGACCGTCAGCACAAATGCATATGGACACATCCATACAATCATGCATCTTAAAAGCCTTTCCCGTCTCTATACCGGTACCTCCCTCCCTATCTCCAGCCACTGATGCCAATCTTGGGTATTCGAACACGTTGATGGATGGTGAGACATGCACATATCAGTCGGTGTCTAAAAATGTTATTATCGACTCTGCCCCCAACGTCTAGACCTTGCATGGAATTCTTGGTTATGGCATGTTGCCTTTGCCTCTCCGATTACTGACGCTTTCAAATCTTCGGTGAATCAGACATTGTCCGAGATCATCAAAGATCGAGGGGAGCATCACCCACATCTGCCGTTATACCCGTAACCCTTAGTCAGAATCGTCTTTAGGATTCCATATTCAAAACCGTAGGCTGTGGCTATAAGATACTTTCCAGGCTTGTGAAACGTTTCAGACGAGATCTGGGTCAGATGTGGCATGGATGGAATGTAGAGTCCAACGTCAGCACTCCAAGTGGTCAGTTCTTCAGCTGCGCCTCGATTCAATCACGAGCTTTATTACTCTCCCATAATAGGTAGTCCTTAATCAATAACTAGTAAACAGAAAATATGTGGCTGAACTTGTCAAAATGGTTGTATTGGTTGGTGAGATGCAACATCTGTTTCTACGGTATTAAAATGATAACTCAACGAGAACATAGACCAGGTATGGTCCTCCAGTAAATCTACCCCATGCTTCGTGTTCCTTTCACTATTATAAACTTGACTATCCGCTTGCCTAGACTTAAACAAAATTGGTAGAGACAAAGTTTAGAAGTTCTCCTTGCCCCAAACAAAAGAAAATCTGCATCAAGTTAGCTGAGGTTCTCACATATCAATAATAACATAGAAACTTACCCAGGCTCGGTATACTTGTTACAATACGTATGCAGCGAACTTCCCAACCCCTTAGGTCCACAGAAAAACACACCCGCCTCAGCAGGACTGTGCAGCTTCCTGATACCTCTAAAGATCATATCCCAGTTGGGTCTGCCAAAGTTTGTCGGGCTGCGCAGACCGGTGATGGTATCCTTATCGGCATTGGCGTCGTTGATCATGATGTTTGTCGCATCGTCGGCCTTGATCTTGGCTGTGAGGTAGGTGTGAATCTCAATACGGTGGTCCAGATCCTGCGCTTCGACTGCGAGAAGCAGTGAGCGGAACCACTCGAAGGAGTCAAAGTCACGGCAGATCCAGAAGAAGTAGACCTTGGATAGACGGGTCTTCTTCTGAGGGTAGTTCATTCGGTACCAGATGGACTTGAGGATGGAGGCGAACGGTGTAACACCGATACCTGCACCAACAAGCACGGAGACTTCGTACTTGAAGACATCTTCGGATGCAGAACCAAAGGGACCGTCGACGTAGACTCTGGGGAGAACACGGCGAATAGCTGGGTCGATCTCGGAGTCGCGTCCAGTCAGGCCAACTACTTTGCTGGCATCGTTGCTGCCAGGCTCCCTCTTCTTGCTCCAATCACAACCTAAAGCCTTAGAGAGCTCCTTGGTGAAGTCACCCACACAACGAATGTGGACCGAGATGTAGTCCTCCTCAGGGGCACTGGTCAAAGTGAAAGGATGGTACTGCCATAGCGAAACGGCAGGGCAGCACAGAAAGATGTACTGGCCAGCTCGTGTCTTTGTGTGCTCCTTCTTCATCTGAATCTCGCAGACGTTGCTGGGGTGCTGAATGACCTTTGTGATGTATGTCCTGTGACGACCTCGCACCTCACGCGCAATACGCTCGGCCAGGTAGATGAAACCGCTGTACATCCAGTATTGCCAGAAAACGCCAACAGCCGATGCCCCAACGCTGGTGCAGAATGGTGCAACATCTGGTTGAATCATGCAGAAAGCTCCGTGGATAGACCAGAAGAAGAAGAAAACGATAAACATGTGGTGAGTATACCAGAAACGCTCAAAGTTTGCTCGTCGAGGCTTCTCAGTCGATGTGAGAACCATACCCATCAGCGCAATAAGCATAACATAGCCAGTCCAACCAGGTCCAGACACAAAGTTGGCAACCAACCAACCGTAGACACCAAGTTTGTACTTGATGGCGACCTGCGCAAAGTTATTCCAGTGAGCAATGGTATGAACCCAAGACCAGAAAACGATAGACCAGGCGGTGACAATGTGGAAGGTGATGTTCTTGTCGAACTGGAGGATTCCATTGAGAGGCGTCTGTCGAAGTAGCGAGATGAGGGTTCGGGAGACGGGGAGGAGAATAATGGCGACGTCGACGTGAAGAACCAGAGCAGCTGAACGAGCTATGACGAAGGTGAAGCCGAAGAGTTCATTGGAGCTCTTGAGACTCTCTTTTTGGGAGTAGTGGACGCATGCGAAAGAGAAGATGAGTGCGTGAAGAAGCATAAAGACAAAGACGAAGCTGGAGTATCCAATGTTAGTCTGAATTACTACCTGATGCCAGTGAACTTACAATCTTCGATAACCTTCGTTGATCATCCAGCGATCAAACTTTTCTCTTGATGATAGTTCCTGTTGCTTCTCTTGGGTCATCTCACCCGATAACAGCATTCGCGTTAGGGGAGTCCATCGTGATCGTTCGGAAGGTTTCTCCCCCCAATCCTGCATTTGATAGCTCATCTTGAGCGAGGGCGAGCTGAATCGGTTGAATCAACCGACTAAAAACTGTCCGATTCTCCTTCAATAGGTGTCGTCGTATTGTCGCTCCTCGTTCCTCGATCCCAATAAACACCGTGAACGACAGTATCGATTATTCAGAACCAGCTGAACAGTTGAATTTTCGTACCCAATGAAACAGTTCAAATAGTATAATATAAACAAGAAGAAGAATAAATGCTGTCTAGAGCCTCAAGATTAAAAGAAACACAACTTCTCATCGAACCATGACTTGTCGACAGAAAAACAAGAGAGTGAATGAAGGAGAGAAGTGAGAGGAGGCAGAAGCAAGGGTCTAAAGAACCAAAATGAAAAAAGGGAAAACCAAGCCGTTGAAACTCAAGGGGGCCTAAAACATGAATGAGATGATTTTATTTGCGTGGTCTCTAAGAGAAAAAACGGAGTTTGGCGACCGGACTTGATACCAGGCACAGACGGCGAGTGTCCGGGGTTAGCGCTTGGCATGCGCCTAAAGATTCTAGCGAGAGGCTGTAGAGACAGAGACTCGAGATGGAGAGCGAGACGTGGGTTTGGAGAACACGCCATTTAAGGAGTTGTTATGTATCAGGCATGGTTCAACCGATCCGACTCTGCCTCAGGGGCTGTAGTCATGAACTTTTACAACTGGCTCTATCCGAGTAGTTGTTCTTTGAGTTTTTACTAGTTATTGGAATTTTGAGAGCCTCTAGATTCGAAATACTACTCAAAAACTAACTCTTCGTCCGCATCTCTAGCAGAAGATGGCATGAGTCGTTCACTGTCAACTCAGCAATAGTAGTCCTTGATTGGTCCTTGTCAACGCTT